TCCAAAGGAGTGTTGGGAGATTCCATGTTAGCCCTGGGGAAGGTATCAAACCAAGATCCAAATGCCAAATGGTGTTCTCACCATGGTGGCCATGTGGGCTCATCACCCCAAGTATTCCCATCTGCCAATCCCAATGTTTGCCTGACCAGTCTATGCATTGTCTACTTGGCCGAGGATAGGGGGCGTTTTTAGAGCACCCCCCCGCCTGGTTCTTCTTTGGCTATCAGATTGCCAAGACTTACTCTCAGATTCCCAGGACTTACTTTGCCAATTGCAATTTGAAGAACCAGTTGTTTCAGCAACCCCCAAAAACTTGGACACTAAAGCGGACCCCAAAACAGTCACAGATCAGGCCCTCTTGTGCAACCCCCTTTGCGGGACTGTTTGCCCTTCCATTTGTGGAAATAAGTTATCGTAAATTTGATGGTATGGGGGCCGCTAAAAAGGCATTCCTAATGCTTGCCCGGATGTGTTTCTCGTTCTTTCTTTTTGGTTATTTGTTTTCCGCCAGCCTTGTTTGGCCAGTTGTTTGGTGCCCGGATTTTTGCCGGCAAAATGTTTCCTGGCCCAAAACAGTCACAGGATCCTGAATTAGGAAAAAACAATCTCCAATAGAGGCCCCAAGGTGAAACATTATATATATATATTACAATGGAGGCTCTTCTTGTCCCATAACTTAATCATTGACAAAGGCCCCTTTGACAAAGGCAGTCCCTGACGTCGATAAACCCAACCACCCACTCTAAGAGTTGTTGTATTACCCCCCCTGGGATTACACCCTTGGGAAATGACCCAACATGGTTCAAACAAACACAGTGTTCTGCGGAAATATGCCTAAATGGGGTCATTTCCCAGGTGTTGTCCCAGGGTGTAATACAACAACCCTTGCATTGATGGCCTAAGGATCCGGCCCTTAAGAACTCTCTTCTACGACCTCCGCACATGAATGCCAGCTTCAGCCTCAACTGCTGCCCTCAGATCCTTCCAGCCAAGAACAACGACCCCAGTATGAGAACTCACGCCCTGAGGCCCGAGCCCACAGCCCAGACATGACTCCAACCTGAGCCACGCCAGGCCGTCACCGCATGGCTGCGACCGCTTTGCGGTCCGCGGTTCCGCGGATCCGCGGATCCCCCGAAAGGCGGGTCCCAAGGCGAGTTCTCCGGGTAGCGTGCTTAGGGGTCCATACAGTTCCCAGTGACTCCACTTACCTGTATAATGTTGGGGGTAATATAGGTAGAACCGCCCACAGGCTAAAAGCCATTGCGAAATGGGGATCCACTGGGTTGCCCCACCATATCAATCATGGAGATTGGCCGTTTATCCTGCTCTTCGGTCAAGTTAGAGTCTTGGCCTAGCGATGCAAGACCTGGCCAGTGCCCCTTTGCTGTCTCGGTTCGGTCCAAAGCAATTAGACTCATGATGCGAGTGATGAGATGGCCGAGACTGTTGGTCTGCATTGCCTACTAGTAGCTTGCAGGTGTGCGTGTGTGTACTTAATGCGTGCTTGGTGTTCGGCTGAATCTGTCCACATATTCTGTCCAAACACATGCGAGCCGATCATCACGGCAATGCTCCGAAGCATGGAGGCAATGAGATCCCAAGAGTTGCAATCGATCGGGGGTGTGTCAATGGCATTGCGTCAAAATCGGGGGACCCCAAAAAAACAGGGCTGTTGGACGTCTTCGATCCATCCAGCCTTTGACATCCTAGGTCCCCCAAGAAAAACAAAAAGAAACAAACACAGAGAAAAAAACAAGCAAACATATTCGACCCGGAAAAAAAAATGAGGAGAAAACCTGGAAACTCCAATGAAGATCCCCTTCCTGAAATTTGGCGACGCCAGCCCATTCTGATTCGCTTAAAAAGAACAATCCTCCCAAGAGACTGAAGGCCTCGTTCCCATCGATGATTTGGCTGTGGGTCAAAACCACCATTTTGGGGTAGGTGCACCACCCATTTTAGAACCTATTTTAGTGGGGATTGGGATGTTCACTGGGGGTACGGGCTTTTGACCCATGGCCATTTTGTTGTCCAACCGATGCAGTTCTCCATTCACAAAATCCTCTCCCCGTGAAATTCACAAATCCGAGCCACCATGAAAACAATGGGGTTCATGTGTGGGGGGGTGGGTGTGGGTGGGGTCGGTGGGGGACCGTTGTTTACCTAATTTCTAGGGGTTGATTCCCCATTCTGTTCAACCCATCCTTCTTTTCAAAAACCAGCTATTTTCCCCGGGTTTCCGAAGGTTTTCTGGAAAGAATCGGATCCCTGGAAAGAGTGGAATTGGAAGGCACCCTGAGATAAGTGTCATCCTCCAAATTGGGTCCACCATTTTTTGATGGAGGTTGAGCCCTGGGGAAACCCTCGGACACCTGGAGGCCAGGTGTAACAATCGGAAGAGCCTGGGCCTACACCACGCCTTGCAGAGGTCTCGAGATTCGGGCAGGAGAATACCTGAACCCTCAAAATTCCAACTGAAAAATGGGCTTGACCCCCAAAATTATGGTTGGTGATATCCCATTTTTATGGGTAGTTTGAGGGTCCAGGTAGCCAGAAAACACCTTTGGGGCTGCAGACAAACCAACAGCCCGAATTGCTAGGGACTTCAGGTTTTGAATCGACCTCAAGCCAGGTGAAAGCGGCCAAAACCCAGGCTGAGAATGCGCACAAATCAGGAGAGATGGTTTCTTGGTTGCTGCTGCCCCCTCGCAAAAAGTGTCACTGTTTGTCCAATGAAAACTTCACAGTTTCCCAAAAGCTAGAGTCCTTAAAGACGCAACCAAATAGCAGTAAAGAAAAGGGGCCCCAATCTGCAGTACCCACATTTTCAGGACGTCTTTGGATCGGTGCCTTTGTGGCTACGGCGACCTGTGCCGAGGCTCGATCGCCGGATCGCCTTTTTCAAGCGATCGCCTGGCCATCTCTTCCCGCGCGCCTCTTCGGCGAGCAAACGCCGGGTCGAAGCTCCGAGAGCTGCGTTTGGCGCCGGTGGGAGGCGCTTTTCATGGCACCCAAACAGCTCCGATGTTCCCCAAAAAGAAGTATAGCCTCTGTAGCTGGTTTTTGCGGGTTCCATGTGAGTTTCTTGCAGGGTTGATCACTTTCGAAAGGTCGAACCTTTAAGGGAGATGGCTGTAATCTTCCGAATCTAGGCCCAAGTTTCAATTTGGGACCCTTTGGTGGAGGTAGCCCTTCCCCACTTAAAGTCATACCCACGGTTTCTTGGCTCCAAGACGCCAATGTGTGGATGAAATTGGAAGAAACCTCGGGTGTCTTTTCCAAACTGACAGTAACAAATCTGAAATTCGAAGTTGGTCCAAGTGACTCTCTGCAAGTGTCGCGCTTAGTTGGGCATGGAAAAACCCGGGTCATTGTCCACCATAAGCATCACAAGGGCCCCTGTTGAGGTGTCAAAAGTTATCCCTCTTATAAATAAATAAATAAATAGATAAATACATAAATATATAATAAATCAATAGTAAATAAATAAATAGCTAAATAAAAAATTAAAACATAACATATACATATATATATATATGGGCCCGCATATATATATATATATATATATTACGACTCAATTACGATATATTCTGGGAAACACCAAGAAAGCAAGCTTCATCATGGACGAAGCCGGAAGAATCCTTGGTTGAACGGTGGCCAAGCGCCGAGAACGATCTCACGAAACCCATCAGAAGGGCGCGTTTTCTTGGAACATTGGCCCGTGGCCCAAGAAAAAGAAGTACCCGCGTTTAAAAGAACCTTGGCCCGTGGCTCAAAAAATCGGTACCCAAATGGAACCCTGGTAAGTGGAAACATGGGTACTAAAACCTGCGTAACTCAATTGTTCCGCAAGGGTCTCCGGCCAGGTTCTGTGAGTGAGATGTAATACACAAGCTCCTAGTGGGACACGGCGACTTGAGTGCACGTCATGTAAAATGCAATGTTCAAAAGAAATGCATCACCCCAACCAAAAAAGTTGGAATCATCACGCAGGCTGGCTACCCATTGTCATTTTCCGGGATGATCGATGCAAAGCGTGCTTCCCAGCGATACCCGAAGAATCTTGGAATCTCAAAATGACCCATTTGAGATGTAAAATCTTCCTCCCGGGGAGGGTCAATGATGGGCAAGTCCACAAATACAGCTTCGGCTTCAACCGTGGAAGTTGTCGTATGCTTGCTGTCTGGCTCATCCAAGCGGCTAGCAGCACAACCATGCTCGCTTTCCCCGCGCAAACGGGGTGCAGAGATGCCCCTGCAAGTAACGGACCTTAAGCTTGGCAAAGTGACCTGAACAAAGCATCCACAAGCTCCACGATTCGAGTGTCAGGTCTAGATTCAAGTGTCTAGAGGTCCAGCGGCAGGGGAGTCGAGCAGTCGAGCGCGGGCCAGGCAGTTTTGCCAAGAGCCACGGGGCGGGAAGGGAAGCGAGTCAAGGCGATTCCCCGCGCGAACGAATAGGCGATTTCCAGCGACTTGTGCTCCAAAAATATGGCCATGGGTTAAATTCCCGTACCATCAGTGAACATCCCAATCCAGGTTTCAAAATGGGTGGTGCACCTACCCCAAAATGGTACCATTGGTTTTGACCCACAGCCATACGGAAGCCATCACTTTCAGAATCTGACCTACAGGTCCTCACCTCTTGAAGGTTCCTTTCTGATGCTCAGGGCAATAAAATGAATCCAGGGTGCAACTGCAGGTCTGGACCAACCTTACTTATCGAAGCTGCTTCTGGGACTTGTGGTCATGGTCGCAGTGCTTCAAGCTTGACACGAAAACGCTGCACACCCTCCCACCCCCCCGCCCCCGCATTCGGATTCATGCGGATTCGCGCTTCTTGGCATTCGGTGGCTTGAGCCTCGCTTAGCTCACTTCCGTGCTGCCAAAAAGGTGCCGTCAGCACTTTCGTCTCTCAACATGGCGGACTCCTTTGTATAAAGCCCGAAGCAACGAAGCCAGCCCAACCGTGTCTGCCGTTGAACCCTTCAAAAAAGCTCCCCCCCCAACTCCTTTTCGGCTCCAAGCACTCGCACCGATCTCTCTCGCGTCTCGGGACTGGAGCGCCGCTTCAGGGGTAGAACTGCCGGCGCCAGGGCGCCATCCAGAAACCCTCCACTGGAGCCGCCGGCTTCCTCAGGCTTCGATGAGGCAGGGGCCAATGGTCTAGGGGTTGATTCACGAATCCGAGCCACCATTAAAAAAATGGGGTTCATGTGTGGGGTGGGTGGGTGTGGGTGGGGTGGGTGTGGGTGGGGTGGGGGACCGTTGTTTACCTAATTTCTAGGGGTTGATTCCTTTTCCATTCTTTTCAACCATCGTTCTTTTCAAAAACCGGATCCGTTTTCCCTGGGATTCTCAAGGGTTTCTAGAAAGAAGGATCCCTGGAAAGAATGGAATTGGAAGGTACCAATAGAAATGGGGGGTTTTGACGGCTCCCACCGGCCCATGACTCTCTCCGCCGAAAAATCTGGGTGGTGATTCTTGTTGCTTTCCTCCCAGCAAAGATCGCGCTCGAGCATTGGAAGAGCTTGGAACTACAAACGCGGTGCTTGTTGAGATCCCAAGATTCAGAGGGCCAACTCCCTTTAAAATAGTGGCTTTGATCTACCCACCCAAAATAAGCCCAAATCTTATCCAACCCTGGAACCCTGAAAACTGCTGCGAACCACAGCGGGCAAAGACCCCAAAGCTTCAGCTGGGGAAACCACGAATGGTGTTTTGTTTTGCTCACCTTTTGGACCCCCGCCCTTGTTTTTCGTCCCATTTCTGGCAAAAATGGGGGCGGGAGGTCAAACAGTTGATAGAAACTGTTCCTCTTTCGTTCTCAAAATCGTCCTATCCCAGCCCTTAAGCTTCTTTCAGCCCAGTTCTTGGAAACTTGGCCCGAATTCTCCTTGCTCCTGATACTGTGGATGGACGAAACCCATTCGATTCCCCTGTAATTAAATACCAACAAATCCGTGGTTTCAAGGTGCAGGATTTCGTCCATCCACAGTAACCTTCGATGCTTGCAAGCGCCACCAACAAATGGTCCCAAACCTTCCCCTGGAAGTCCGACCCCACTGGAGGGTCCCATGCTTAAGGAACGGCATTTCTCGCGTCGAAAGTGCACCTTCACCCGGTCAAACCACAGTTGCTTCTGCACAACGCGTAGCTCGCCGATCAAGATTGGCCAAAACAAGTGCCCCTGACTTTTTGGGATCACTACTATGGTCCGAACCCCCAAAGTGAACTCAGGGAGTGAGATAGAGGCCGAAAAAGGCCGTATGGTGTGAAAAACTGGCTCAGTCTTGTTACTTTCTATTCACCGAGGATCACTCTCCTTTTTGCAAGTTGTCATTGGATTATAGCCGACTTGTCACCGATTCATCACTCCAAGTCAGGCTCGATGATCCCTGAAAAGTTGCTTCAACTTTTCGTGGGGTCATGCATCCAGTCACCGAGGACAGAAGAGGCCACTGCCAAGTCTCCCGGAAGGCTTCTTCGCCGGCGCAGGCGCCGGTGCCGCCGGTGCCGCCTTCGCCTTCGCCGCTGGCGCGGCGGCCGCTGCCGGGGCGGCGGCCGCTGCCGGGGCGGCGGCGGCCGGAGTGGGCGTTGGCTCCGGGGCGGCCGCGGCCGCCGGCTTTGCAGGCGCCTCGCCTGGCAACCCGAACCGCAAACTCAGGGGAAGCCCAACTAATGGACATGCAAGTGTTTCATCTCCAATTTGCTGAGGTTCCAACTCTTGACATGCACAGACATGACCTTGGGATATAGTTACCTGCAAAGACCATCCAGACTGTGTCACATGGGGGCAAATGATTGTGTTCAGCATGTGTGCGTTGCAGGCCATGGTCATGGTTTGCTTAGGAGCTGTTACATGATTGTCTACCTTTGCTAAGGGGTCTATGACAAATGACAACAAAGGCATTTTTGACATGAACCCCTGGTCACAATATAGCGGCCCCTTTGACGGATGGTGCCCCACAATAGAACCATATGCGCAAGTTGATTTGGCAACAAACAAAGGACCCATACCAAGGGTTCATTCAACTGGATGACTTGTGATATATAGTTCACCAACTCATGCCCCAAAGATAGCTCCCACAGCCAACCGCATCAACACGACTCCAAGGTGTCCCTTCCGAATCCTTTCGTTTAGGCAGTTTGGCATGCCAAGAAAACCACCTCTTGGGACCATACATTTCTCCAAGGTCGTGAGGACAAACAAAGACACACACAACGACGCAAACCCAACACAAACAAACACACAAAACACACAAACACAGAAAACACAGAAAACACAGAAACACACAAACACACAAAAAACACAAACACACACAAACAACACACAAACACGCCGCAAGCACACAAGCACACAAGCACACAAGCACACAAGCACACAAGCAGACAAACACAACACACAAACACACAAACACAAAAACACACAAACACACAAACAGACAGACACAGACACAGACACAGACACAGACACAGACACAGACAGAGACACAGACACAGACACAAACACAGACACAAACACACACTACCCCACCCCCACTACCCCACCCCACCCCACCCCACACCACACAACACAACACAACACAAACACAAACACAAACACAAACACAAACACAAACACAAACACACCCACAGAGACACACACACAGAGACACACACACACACAGAGACACACACACAGAGACACACACAGAGACACACACAGAGACACACACAGAGACACACACAGAGACACACACAGAGACACACACAGAGACACACACAGAGACACACACAGAGACACACACAGAGACACACACAGAGACAGACAAGACACACACAGAGACAGACACACAGACACAGACACACAGAGACACACACACAGAGACACACACACAGAGACACACACACAGAGACACACACACAGGGACACACACACAGAGACACACACACAGAGACACACACACAGAGACACACACACAGAGACACACACAGAGACACACTCAGAGACACACACAGAGACACACACAGAGACACACACAGAGACACACACAGAGACACACACAGAGACACCACACAGAGACACACACAAGACACAACAGAGACACACACAAGAGACATAACACAAAGACACACACAGCGACAGACACAGAGACCACACAGAGACATCACACAGAGACACACCACAGAGACACACACACAGAGACACAACACACAGAGACACACACACAGAACACACACACAGAGACACACACAGAACCACACACAGAGAACACACAGAGACACACACAGAGACCAACACAGAGACACACCACAGAGACAGCACACAAGAACACACACAAGACACACACAAGACCACACACAAGACACACACAGAACACACAAACAGAGACACACACAGAGACCACAATTACACACAGAGACACACACACAGCGACACAAACACAGAAGACACACACAGAGACACACACAGAGACACACACCTCACATAAGAAACACACAAGACAACACACCAGAGACACACACAGAGACACACACAGAGACACACACAGAGACACACACAGAGACACACACAGAGACACACACACAGAGACACACACAGAGACACACACAGAGACACACACAGAGACACACACAGAGACACACACAGAGACAGACACACAGACACAGAGACACACAGAGACTGACAGAGACACACACAGACACACACAGACACACACAGACACACACACAGACACACACAGACACACACACACACAGACACACACAGAGAAACACACAGAGACACACACAGAGACACACACAGAGACACACACAGAGACACACACAGAGACACACACAGAGACACACACAGAGACACACACAGAGACACACACAGAGACACACACAGAGACACACACAGAGACACACACAGAGACACACACAGAGACACACACAGAGACACACACAGAGACACACACAGAGACACACACAGAGACACACACAGAGACACACACAGAGACACACACAGAGACACACACAGAGACACACACAGAGACACACACAGAGACACACACAGAGACACACACAGAGACACACACAGAGACACACACAGAGACACACACAGAGACACACACAGAGACACACACAGAGACACACACAGAGACACACACAGAGACACACACAGAGACACACACAGAGACACACACAGAGACACACACAGAGACACACACAGAGACACACACAGAGACACACACAGAGACACACACAGAGACACACACAGAGACACACACAGAGACACACACAGAGACACACACAGAGACACACACAGAGACACACACAGAGACACACACAGAGACACACACAGAGACACACACAGAGACACACACAGAGACACACACAGAGACACACACAGAGACACACACAGAGACACACACAGAGACACACACAGAGACACACACAGAGACACACACAGAGACACACACAGAGACACACACAGAGACACACACAGAGACACACACAGAGACACACACAGAGACACACACAGAGACACACACAGAGACACACACAGAGACACACACAGAGACACACACAGAGACACACACAGAGACACACACAGAGACACACACAGAGACACACACAGAGACACACACAGAGACACACACAGAGACACACACAGAGACACACACAGAGACACACACAGAGACACACACAGAGACACACACAGAGACACACACAGAGACACACACAGAGACACACACACACAGCCGAACGGCTCCAGGCAAAAACAAACAAATCAACACATTCACCGCGTGAGGGCCCGCTCCGCTCTGCGCTTTTTTGCGCCTCCGATCGACTCGGAGCCTCCCGGTTTGAAGGTGGCCAACAACTGCTCCTTCTCCACGGTCTCGTCCGCCTGCGCCACAATCTTCTCCAGGACTCCGTTCTCCGGGGCCTTGACCTTCCGTCTGGTATGTCTCGTGGGTCTTTCTCAAAATAGTCCCCTTGGGGTGCTGTTGAAGGGAAACCAACAGGAAACCAACCACCTGGAGGAATTGGTCCCTTATTTTGAGAAAGGCTCATATAGATGTTTATATATATATATATGTGTATGTATGTATGTATATATATGTATGTATATATATATATATGTATATATATATATATCCCCTGCCTCAATACTCACCTTGTCAGTCTCGATCACTGCCAAGATGTCGTCTTTGGCACAGAAGTCCCCGACCTTCTTCCTGAGAGCTCCCAGCAGAGAGCTAGGGTTCACCAGGCGTTTACTGGAAAATTCCGTGACCCCCCTTGTCCTTCCCAAATTGACATCATATAAAAAGTGCACAAATAAAATACACAAACAGATATACAGAGATACAGATATATTGGTGCATATATATATATATGTACATATACGTGCATATACATATACATGCCTGTATATATACATATAAAAAAGTGATCCACTTCCCCTATGATCTACCTCTGCAGAAGAGTTTGTAGCCGAAGAACTAGGCGCCTTTTTTATGACGGTTGAGTATAGGCTTGCACCACATCTGACATCTGCGAATGTCAGGCTCCATAGGCGAGGTTGAAGTCAATGCCAAGTTGTGAGATAATTTCCAAGAAGAAGTAATCCTCCAAGATTTCAAATGGGGAACGCCATGTTGATCCTTCAAGTCAAAAGCACAACCATCCGCGATAGCTTTATACAATCAGTGTCTTTGCAGGAAGGTTGTTTGGCCATTCGAAGCAAGCATGGCCCCCTTGAACAAGTACTATTTTGGCAACTGCCAGACAATTATTGAGAATCTTCAAACTTGTTTGCTGCTTTGTTCAAGCTTTTCCTGACACCAAGACCACGGGCCGCAAGGTATTGAACCCCAGAGCAAGCTTCTTCAAGGATTCTGCCGCCTCCGGGCACGACATATCTGATTTCTCTTGATTGAGTCTATAAAGCGCTTGATACCCAGAACCTTTCTCGCCTGACCTCAGTGAGGAATCAGGGCTGCAGAATTCAATCAGCGGTGGGATCTTTTTCATGGCAAATGTTGGTCTTCCTGGTTGGGGCGCATCTCAAGCAACCCCCCACCCTCGCGACCAATACCTTGATCCCGTTGGTGTCTGCATCTGCATGCTGACCCCGCGACAGCTTCAGCACCCTCTTTCAACACATCGCGAGAATCTAGGCGAAACACCCCCCAAGTGCCATAGGCCGCACACTTTTCCGCAGGTTCGATTTGCGCCAAAACCGTATTTCGCAAATGTCCAAAAGTGAATCTTTCTTTACATGTCACTGGAAAACTTGGGAAAATACTTCTTTGCGAAACGGCGGACTTCCAAATGAGTCACAATCAAAACCCGGTATTAAAATTGTCTACCCAGAACCATGCAAAGAATTAAGATGCCTTACTAGCCTTCATCTACCCGGATTTTGAGCAAGTGGCTCAAATGATTGGCCCTACTCTTGACGATTCGTAAAATGCTGAACGTGAACATTCCAGTGAGCAAGCTTCAAGAAGCATGGGCCATGCATGACCAAAGACCTGCAGTAGTGCATCAAGGCAGCTCATATACAAGTAGTTGTGCCTAGTGGCAACTCACTCTAGCTGGAAAGGCATTTCCTAATTCTTCTAGCCTCTATCCAAAATGTAACAAACACATGTTGTTGGTTGTTATTTTTACCTTCTGGCACTCACACAAAAAAGCTCGAGATGGTTTGTGTGTTTCTGATTTTGTCAGCATAAAACGGAAACATGCTTTTGGGTTTTAACTTCTCTCTGGCTGACACTCACCGAAACCACAAACAACAAAACTTGTTTGTTTCGTCTTTGGAGGGTTAAAGCCAAACCAGAAAACGATTTGGGTACAACAAAACACCCAAAAAACAACTCGATAAATAACAAACAAAGCTTTTTGCAAAACCAAAACATCTTCTCTAAGTGTTGTTTGTTGTTTCTTGTTTTCTCGTTTCGTTTTGGTGTTTGTTTCCTCAGTCTTTGCTGTTTGAGTTTTCTTCGCTTCTAGGTTGTTTGGAGGGAGCAAGCGGAAACATAAAATTCACAAACCTCGTGAAAGCCAACGTAAGACCGCAACTTATCCTCCGAGTGTGGCTCTGGGTTTTTGGATTTTGTCGAGAGTGCGTTTCCACATGTTTATATAGTAGTTTTGTAGCGAAGTACCCAAAACATGCACGCAAGGGTTAAAAATGCAAAACTGCAACATGTGTGCATGTGCCTTCGAACAAGTAAATCATGAAAATGACAATGTGTGTGGCCCGATTCGGGCCAACCATCAAACACAAGGTAATAGCAAACAGATGTGTATATATATATAACTACATATGTATATGCGCATTGAAACAAGCAGTTGCCATGTGTTTAAGCATATCATGGGGATGCGACTATACATATATATATATAACACATACACACACGCCCTTGTCCACGTGGACATCTGCAGAAACCGCGAGGCGCATCCAATACCCTGATGTAACCTTCAGCCTGCTGCCGGGTTGCGAAATGCTGCTGATACGTCGAACCGCCATTTTCTGTTGCCTGTTTCTGAGAGGGGACTTTTTGTTCAACCTGGTAAGCCTTGCTATGGTTGGTTGGTAGAACTCAAGGCTGTTGCCGTAACCGTAACGAGGCTTATTTATAATGCTGATGGCCAAACAAACGGTGTCTCCAAACTCCCTTTGTTACGCCCTTGTAGCCCTTTGACAATCCCACTTCTAAGTTCCTGTATAGCCGCCTCTACAATCTCAGTCCTAGCATTCCACATAGTTTTCCTCTTTTTGCCCCCCCCCCCCCCACAGTTGGTCTTCAATCCACATGTCTTTTGATTTTTTGATTTCCCCTTCCCCCCTTTCTCCCATTCTCCCTGTCCCCGTTGACTCACCGTTGGCCCCCTTCCCCTTTTCCCCTCCCGTGATGGTTTGGATTGGTGGGTTGGGGATTGGAACCCCAGCTCCTTTTGACTCCCTACGCGCCAAACCCCGTTGACCTTCCCCCCGGATTTGACTCACCATTGACTTCCCCCCCCCATTGTTCTTTCTCCCCTAGGCTGGAATTAGGACCCCAGCTGGAATTAGGACCCTAGCAAAAACAACAAGGGGGGCTAATTCAAAGGGGAGCCAATTCTGAAAAAGAAGTCCCCTCGCTGCGGACGGAGGCGCTGCCACTCCATGATGGTGCCCTCCGTGATGCTCTCTCCGCCGAAGTCCGTGACCTTGATGTCCACGCTACTCCACCGCGCCTCAAGTCGACGCTTTTCGTCGCTTTTCCACGCTCGATGCGCGGCGCCGTCGACTCGCTCGGCCCGGGGTGCTTCTTTCAGGGGCGATCCAGGGATCTACGTTGCGTCACTAGGTCCGCCAGTAGAGAGGTTAGAATAAGGGTACCATTTTTTTCTGTAGTCTATTTTATTAGGGGAACCCTCCCCCCAAAAAGGGTAAAGGGCGCTACTAGGTCAGGCAAATGGTGAGAGCAAGCTTGGTGAAACAACCCACAGAAAGGAGACTTTTAACCATGGCTTTTGTGGGCTATTTCACCAGGCCTACTACTTACTAAGTAGCCTAGCCCTTCAAGTGGGTGACCACAAAGAAACACATTCCCCAACCAAGCCAGCCTTAAGGACCATTGCTTACCGTTTCTTGGTTCCATGGTTCCAACTGGCCCTCTAAGTCCCAAGCCAATCCAGAAATCGATTCCTGGCAAACTGATGCGACGACTTAAACTCCGGCCGGAACATGGCGGGCATCAAAATATGGTAACCCAAAACTGGTTGCTGTCCGATCGGTACATGGAACCCAGGACTTTCCGACCTTCGGTCCATATATCCTGGTGCTTCAAATTTGACCCATACTTGAGTGTTAGATTCGCCAAGTTAGCGAGTGGTTAGCCGCCAACTGGGTTATAACCACTAGTGACAGGGTTAGCCCAAGTAGGTAATAACCTACTTTAAAGGTGCAGTAAGCCTGGTTATAACCCACTTCGCATGGCAAGTAGACCAGGCTTACCAGCCACTTACTAGGTACCCTGCCCCTACCACCAACTTGCTTGGCGAATCGAACACCCTGATGTCTGGCACCGTCGAGTCGAGAAAAAGCCCTCTGTGCATGCCAAGAAGGTAGCCTGAAAAAAACAGAGGGCTCGAGATTTAGATCAGTTGCTCTCTCTTTGTTTAAGAGTTTTGCATTCGCTCGCGGTGCTGGAATGCTGCAACTGTCATTAAGATCCCCGGCATGTTTTGAACACCCTCAGCATCACTGGGCCGGCTTTGGTCGAGTTTGGGTGAGTTGGCTTGGCTGCGCTTTAGGGAGGGTTGGGTGGCTTAAGACGCTTTAGTGCTAGTTTTGGGTTGGTATAGGGTTTGCTTAGGGTTTGTTTGGGGCTGGTTTAGGGTGGGTTTAGGATGTGTTTAGAGTTGGTTTGGGCTACGGTTGGGCTTAGGTGGGCTTAGGGGTGGATTCGGGATGGTTTACGGTTGGTATGGGTTTGTTTACAGCTCGTTACCTGGTGGGTTTGGGGTGGCTTTAAGGTTTCTGTAGGGATTCTTTAGGGCGGGTCAAGTGGGGTGTAAGGGTGGGCTTAGTTGCGGACTACGCTGGGCTTAGTGGGATGGTTTAGTGTGGTTTAGGGTGGGTTTAGGGTTGCTTTAGATGGTTTCGGGATGGTTTATTGCTGGTTCAGAGTTAGCTTTCCCACCCACCCAGATCGGTTGCCCACAACATAGCAGAGTCCGTTTGGTTTTTCAGGGTTGGAATTTGGGCGTGCCTGTTACAGGGGTCACTGGATTTCCCCCCTTCAAAGGTTGCAATTTACTTTTCAAGATTCTCACAAAGTCGAACCAATGGCCCGTTTCTAAGAAGCCCGGGGGGTTGGGGGGGAGGCCTTTCATCAGAACAAGCTAAACACTATCCTGGCAGTTGCTGGCAATACTGAGGATGTGGAAAACCAAAGCGGGAAAAGCCAACAGCTCAAAAGCCGCAAAAGCCAAAGAGCCACACACCAAGGGTGTTGCCGGTGATGCTGGATGTGGAATGCCAAAGCCACAGAACAAGCGAAAAGCCACCCACACCAAAAACAACACCCATCCTGAAAAAAGACCTGGCAAAAACGGCCTTCAAAACAGGCACACCTACATTGTGCCTTGTGGGTTGGTTGAAATTGTCATGGACTTACGCGTTAGGTACCGTAGGGGAGCCAAAAAAACAACCAAAAGGCAAATTCAAGCAAGAATTAGCCTTGCCCCTAATTAGTGGTTTGGAAATTGGTGGTTTGGACGTTAGGTTTGGTACCTTCCCATCTGGTTTCAAAAGGAACTAGGGTTGCAATCCCCAAACCACCAATCCAAATCACCAATGAACGGGTAGCTGAGACTGAAACATGCGCCGCCGACAAAAACCCTCCCTCTTACATGCCCCCTGACACAAGGTCCTGAGAGACTGATCTTCCAAGCGCCTTTGCATCCGAGTTCGAGTGGTAGACCCACCCGAGGTGACTACGAGATGACAATGTCAGACACTGCCCAAAATGCTCGCTCGCATATTGCTGACGTGCTCAGCTTCGCTTTGTTCTGCAGGGACATCCATTGTTACCTCGTCTCCACCCCCACATTCCCATTTGGAACTCTCCGCGTAGGCGTCGGCGTTGGCTGGTATTTAAAGAGAACCCCAGAGGGAGCCGACGACTTTTCAGCGGACCCAAACACTGCCATGGCCTGTCGGAAGAGCGGGGCTTGCCGGAAACTGCCATGGAGCCTGGCGCGTTTTCTTTCGCGCGAGAGCTTCCTAGAGATGTCTAAAATGTGAAAGCATGGCCAATGGGAATCATATTTGGGTGTGTTGTTTTTTGGCTTGGATTTGTGGTGGTTTTCCTTGTGTTCTTTAAACCAGCCCCAAACCGGGTGCCATCAAAAAACGATACCTCGTTTGGGCTCCGGATGCCTCGGTTTTTTGCGGCTCGCTGGATTGATCCCAGGTTGTTTTCATCTCCGCAATACATACCTTTCAAACGTTGGTTGGGTTAATGTCGGCAATTGAATGCGGGTGCGAATTAAGACATGTTAGAGCAATTATGTGAAAAATGATCCTTTCACAACTCCACCCATGGCGCCTCCTGTACCACCATTGTTTAATTGCCCTTCAACATTGTCATCATCTAAATTGGGACCTTCATTTCATGCGGGCAAGGAGCTCTGGGGGAGTACCAAACCGGGATTCCCATTAACAGGATCCTGCTTTGTGTCATCTCACATTCAGCTCGACGCGCTGGCTGTTCGTGCCACGAACAAAGACGAAGACGAGTGTGGTCCAAGCGACGCTAAGGGGAAAGACCACCCCGTGAAGATTGCTCAACTGTTGCTGCTGCGGATTGCTCCAGTTATGTGCCGTTTTGCTCCGCTTGCCGCTTTGAGAAACAAGAAGCTTTGCTGCATTGCTTGAGGTCTCAAAACGGATTGAGGTCGTTAGTGAGTTATCCAGATCCATACGATGGTCTGCTTCTCTCAGGGTCCCCTTAAAAAAAAAAAACACAAAAACTGTTTGCAAGGTGGCATTGCAGCGCGCTTGCGAAGCGAGCTGTTCAAGGACATAAGTGTTTCGTAGTCTGGGGTCTTGAGAAGTCTGTGCTTCCCACAGCACAATTCTAACTCACAGGCCAGAGCAACCAGCCGCCCAGACCTGTGGATTTTCGTGCCAAACAAGGGCACATGCTTTTGGGTACCCTCCCTGCCACGTTGCCATGGCACCTAGGGTCCCTTAGGAAATGGATCTTCCAGGTATCCTCCCATGCTATGTACGGTACTTGATTTTGAAGTGAAAGTTGTCCAACAAATTTGATTACAGGGCGTCACTGGAGGTCTGGGCAGGGTTTTGCCCAAATGTATCAGAGGATCCACGTGGCGTGAGATCAGGCTTCAACGAGTCTCAGTCACAGACGATGGACGAACACCTGCAAGTCCCGCGTCCAAAACCCCATTTTGGGGATGTGGGAATCTACGTTTGACATCCCCCTTAACAAAACCCGGGTCGCACAAGTGTCTACGATTTCCGTTTGTCTTATGGTCTTAAAACCGGTCCCAACGTAAGACTTAGGTACCCGCAGCTAGAAATTCCCTAGTCCAAACGGGTCCTTTTTCGATTTCTTCTGTCAAAACATCCAAAAGTGGGGGGGGAGACTTGTCTATCACCCCCCCCCATTTTCTCGGGATTATGGGGCAAGCCCCAGCCCATATTGGGGCTAGCTCTGCCACAAATGGGTAGATTGCAACAAGTCCTTGTTTTCCGGCAACTTTTGAAAGCAAGGCCGGGTGTAAGATACCTGTCAATATCAGGCCTTTCTGAGAGGACACAAGCAATGTTGCATACACAAATTGGCAATGTGCTCTTGCTCAGCGTTTGAAGGAAAACCAAAACGACACCTACCACCTCCAAAGGAACCATGGATGATTGCTTTCCAAGAATCCCACCCCGAAAATTCACGTGCCTCACATTTACGGATTTGTGAATTGAAATTGACCCATGCCTCTGTCACCAAATTCAAGACCATAAGTATGATTTATCATCTCCCCAAAAAGGGAATTTGGTTCAATAGTGGGACCCCAGCATGGATCGATCAAAATGCTGGCTTTCCTTCTGGCTCCCTTTGAAGAAGGTCTGGAAAGGGTTATCCTACGCCCTTTCTGGGTATGTGTGAAAATGGGGGATCCTAAAAAGTTGTAGTTCACCCTTGGTTTCCTTTTTGAACCAACCAAAAGAGGGTTCCCCCCAAAACGGGCGAGCCACCAATACAACCTTTCTGGATTCCTCCTCACCGCTCGCTCTCTCAACCAGTCCCCGCCTAAAGGCCGGCCGCGCCACCCGAATGGCCCGCATGGCGAGCTGATCCGATTTCCGCTTGCGGAAATCTGAGATAGGCTGCGGGTGAGCTGCCACGTCCAAAACCCGACTCAGCTGCCCCGGATGGGGCCCAGAAATACCAGGTGATCACTTGGTGTGGCCATGATGAAACATGGGAACCCAAGAAGGGGAAACCAAAAGCGCGTCAGATCAGGTCAGGGCAAACCAGGTCAGATCAGGTCGATTCGCTGAAGTGCGTAGAGCTTCAACAAACCCCCCAAAAAATAGAAACCCCCGAGTTAAAATGCTTCAATCCAGATGGCCATGGGTCAAAATCCCCTACCCCCAGTGAACATGCCAATCCCCACTAAAATAGACTAAATGGGTGGTGCACCTACCCCAAAATGGCACCATTGGTTTTGACCCACAGCCAGATAAGCAGATACCCTCCCTCCAATCATGGCAGACTTACATGATTGGAGGAGAACAACAACGAAGTACCCTCAAAAAACACAAACACGGCCTAAGCTTGTTTCGACCGCCTGCTTTGAGGTCCCTTCCAGATGGGATTTTTCGTGGGCCGAAGCCACTCCTCGAGATGTCAAGAAGTCCGAATCACCGGGAGCCCACCTGGACCCCCAGAATACCCATAAAAATGAGTTATTGCAACCCAAAACTATGGTTGGTGAACTCCCTTGTTGCTATAGGTAGTTTGAGGGTCCCAGGTACATTTCCCCAGTCTGAAAAGGGCCCTGGACTTGTTAAAACAAAACAGCCCAAAAAGCCCCGAAACGAATCGCTTCCCCCTAAGAACAGTCCACCTCACAATGAAGGATCGTTCTCTCTTGCAAATCCCAGCGGGCACAATCTCGGTTGCTTTCCGCTCCCCTTCTAAAAGTTTAACTTTTAGCGGTTTAATGGAAAACCCATTAGTTGGCAACAAGAGAAAGTCCTAACATCCAAGCAAAATGCCCCAAAGCAATACTCAATTGGAACAATCAGCCAATGCCAAACTCGCGAAATCTCGCCCTCTCCTCCTGGCGCACTAGGGGACCCTTCGCCGTCGGGTCTAGCGTCTGTGTGGCTCACTATACTAGGGCCGTCGCTGTTTCTCTTCTAGGCTGGAATTAGGACCCCAGCCAAAAATGATCTTTTTTGCCTGGTTAGTGGACAACAAAGTGGACCCCAAAAAACCAAAAAAACAGAAAACAAAAGGGGAGCTAATTCTGGGGAAGTCTTGGCGTGCATTTGTTCGAGGCATCAGGCGGCGAACGGAGAATCAAGCCATAATCGAGTGGTTCCAAAACCATCTACCTGTGCAGCAGGAAACCAAAGGCCCTTTCAAAAATAAGCGGAACACGGCCGGATACCCGTACATGTATGATGCCAACTGAGATCCACATCAAGCCAATTGACCCATAAACGAGGGGTTCATATAAGGAGTTCATTTCCTTTAGCTCATACATGGTGGCTTTCTGGTTCTTTTTTTGGCAGCCCCGCCAAAAATGAACAGAGCCAAAAAGACCTAAGCCACCTGGACCCGCAAAATAATTACCAAAAACACTGTGCTATGGCAACCCAAAATTATGGTTGGGTGGTTGGGCGGATTCCCTTTTTTCTATGGGCAGTTTGCGGGTCCAGGTCAACAAGCTGTGCTTTTTGGCCCCCCCTTCCCCCCCCCCCCTCCAATGAGCAGAGCTGAACAACCCTTAAGACACACCTAAAAACACAGGTCAAAACATGCCGAACACCTAAAACACCTAAAAACATAGCAACCACAACTCGGTGTAGCCAAAAAGCCCGAACAAACACACCCCAAAAACAACCCTTAAGACACCTAAAAGCATGCCACCAGTGGAACCCATCGAACAGATCTGCTGAGAGCGCCTTTTTGCGCGTCCGTGATCACCGGCCCAGAGCCTTCAATACGCCGCCGCCGGCGAAGTAGAGCACACACCTCGAGCGCCGATGGGCTCGGGCGGGCTTGGACTCGACGATTAGAAGGCAGAGAACATCACTGTCCCCTGCCGTGTGGATTTGCACGCGGAGAAAAAGAAGAAGCAATCATCCGATTTGTTTTGGTTGACTGTAAAAAGGAATTGGAACCCTTCCCAAAAATAATGGAACAAATAATTGGCGCTGGGCAACTGGTTGCTTCCCTCCCTTTCATATCTTCCACACGCCATCACATAGAAAAGAAATCGGAAATAAATCGGCTTGCAGGAAAGAGATGGAGCTTCTCTCCCAACGGATCTTATGTGTTAAGCGAAAGAAGCTTGCAAGAAAAATATGTTCATGAAGAAACAGTACGATCATTCTCTCCACAACTTTCATCATGTCCTTTCCATTCTAGAATCTGTTATGTTGGAAAGGACTAGAAAGATGATTACAAAGATAATCAGACTTCTATGTGAGAGCATGAGGTTGGCGATTGCACTCATCCACCTCCTTCATCCATTCCCAGCCTCACTACTAAAAATGGATGAAGAGTGACAAGGATTCTAGAGCGGATTACATTGCCAAGATAGAGAGGTGAAAGCGAGGGACAGGAGATGACGTAAGAAGTGAACCATCCAAAAGCCAGGATACCGTTCATGCGTAAGCCCCAGAGCTCTATGCCTTGGTACGCCATTCATTTCTGTCTTTATTTTCTGGTTCGATAGGGGAATGAAAAATGGAATGAGCCCCAGAAAAACTCAGTTGGTTCAAGGGACCCAGAAATACAAGGTCAACCTTTCGGGACATTGACTCAAAAAAAGACACAAAACTAGAAAACCAAAAGGTCAAAAGGTCGGCTTTGGGCAACTGAGAAACCATCCCTTGTGGTTTACTTTAAGGAAATCCCGTTCCGATTCATTCCCGACACCCGGTCTCGGTCATTCCCTTACCCCTTACAACTCCAAGCCCTGGGGAAGTTAATCTTTTACAGACATATAGCCCATGTTACCCAAAAGGTTGAAAAGTTGTGTTTTTAAGAGGTAAGTTCCCCTAAGTGTCCTTGCGGAACCCCCTTTTGGTTGGCAAAGGGAGGCCAAAAGGAAACCAAGCGCTTTGTGGGGGCTCCCCATGTTGAGACAAACCCATATATTAAAAAACAAAAATGAAAAAGGGGTCGGGGCGCAAAACATGGCTTTGTTGAGACTCCATGACTGTTAGGGATTTTATCACCCCCAAGATCGGTTTGTAGCCCTCACCGAGCTCCGTCCATAACCTGCTGGCGGTCAACAAAGATCTGACACGCTCGGGAACTCAGAATGAAAAGCGCCCCGAAGAGGCACTCTCGAGTGTTTGAACATGATCCTAAAGTTTTGTTCTGGTCCCAAAACCGTTCCCTGACTGAGTCATGAGCTACCCAAAGTTAGGATAGGACCCCTGCTCAAGTTTTTAAATCTTGGTGGGTTAAACGAAAGCCCAAAAACGAAACCAACTGAAAACAACTAAGAACCCAAGGAACCGGAGGATTCGCTGGAACCGCCAAGATTTGGGGACCTTGGCCCTTGAGACCTAAACCCTGGGCCGCGGCCAATGCTTTGGGTGCGGTGTTCCCAACCCTTTTCATCAGGTCCAATGCTTGCAGTGCTCGAAAAGGCTTGGAATTAAGGGCTCGCCCCAAAGGATCATAGAGCCTTCCACCCTTCCTCGAAAAGGCTCCTTTTGCGGCCCTTTGGCCATCTTTTGCCCTTCCAAATGGAGGTGCTGACCCCTTCGAGGGAGAATTCTTGTAATAAAAGAGGTCATCGACCCAAAATTCCGGGGTCACCCATTTTTGAAGGAAGGAAGACTCCAGGTACACCACCTTTGGGCTTGGTTTCGAGTCAAAAAACCTCCGACTCCAGTGACTCGCCCCACCCCCTCGCCCCCTCAACTAGGACCCCGGCAGCGCCCCGGAGAGAAGCAACTGAGTCACCGGGTCCGTGGACGGGGTCAAAATGGCGCCGACCTCGGTGAAAGCTCCGATCTTTGCACCGAACCCCAAGGTTACAACCCTCATTGACTGGGGAGAACTGGTTCTCTTGTCTATGTTCACAAAACTTGGGAACCCGACTCTGTGAAGGACTCTTAGTGCTACTCTTTTGGCTGTGATGATAACCGAATGCGACTAGCTCAGCTTGCACTGGTTGGTTCCCTTACAACCATGGTACTGGTAGAACCTGCAGCAGAATCACGGGAAACACAACAAATTATCCTTGTTGGAGATGATTCTCTTTTTGTGGAACCCCTTGTTTTGGATTCCATGTTAATTGAATCAATTCAGTCCTAAGTAGGTTCACCAAGGTTGAACCTTCCCCAGTTACAGCGGCGATGTTGACCGAATCTCACCGAAGCACGGGACAAGTTCATGTACAAAGCAACCTTCTTCAGGGCTACAGGAAATGGGTGTGCCGTTTTTTAGGGCCCCCCAAACCAACTCAAAAAACATATGTTCTACTGGCTGATCCCCCATTCTCTCCGTAAACACAAAACCACCAGCAAATTGGCCCACTGGAAGAGAAGGATGACGGGGGGAAGGTACGGCTAGCGCTATAAGCTGCAAAAAACCGGGCTGTCCGCTTTCTAATCCCCTGCTACAAAGGTTTAATCAATTCGTGGGTTAAATGAAAATCCAACCACAAAACCAAACTAAAAGCAACTAAACACCTTGGGAACCGAACGATTGGCTGGTTCCGAACCGCTCGGTTCAGTGCGTAAGCATCCAAGGAACAAGGCTGGTCTTTGTCTGGCACCCTTTCCCGTGGTACTTGTGCCCGTTTTTTTCGCAGCTACCGATTTTGTTCTGGTGGTTTGAAGGGGAAACCAAGAGGAACACCACAACTGTGGGGTCCCCTGGAAGACACCCCCATGTGTCCAGGGGTTGTTTCCCCATTGTTTTAAACCATCGTTCTTTTCGAAACCAGCCGTTTTTCCCGGGTTTCTGGAGGTTTTCTAGAAAGAAGGATCCCTGGAAAGAATGGGGGAGGTACCCCTAGAATATGGCCAGATTGACATGATTTCCAACGTCCCTTCAGTTCCGGAGAAAACCACCGACCCGAGTGACAACCACGAAATCCATGCCAGGCACAAGGAGCACCGCCTCACGCATCGCGGACAAGATAGGTGTGTGTGTGTGTGTCTTTTTTTGGGGGGGGTTCCCGGGATGGTTTCAAAAGGGAACTAAACGGAAACCACCTATTTTTGGGGGCCCCCAAAAGGACACATGTAAAATGTGTGTGAATTGAACGCCTAAATATTGCATCTCGGTTTGTCCCTTGGCTCCCTATTGCTCTGTGAGCATCACTTGACACGGTCCAGGTTCCTCATTTTGAGGCACCCAGCCTGTAGGTACGTTTAGGGCTCAAAAACCGAGGGAAGCTGGAATCAGCTTTGCCCTTCCCACCCAGGCCTGAAACTATCAAGGGAACCGTCTGGAAAAGCAACCACCTTCTGAATCCAAGCTGGGCTGTCCGTTTTCTGATCCGCTGCTAAAAGTTAGTGGGTTTAACGGAAACCGGAAAAAACAACCGCCAAGCCAACTAAGAACCTGAAAACCTAAGGAACCGGACGGCTGGCTCCGAAAAGGACCTCCAACTCCCTTCTTGCACCCAATTCCCCTCGCCCGTTTCAACCGCCGAGTGGCAATAGCGCTGCCGACCACCACGTACCGCCAGATCTGGCGGAGTTCTTTCGGAACCCGGCGACGGCACTTGGCACTCGGCCCGTCCGGAGCGAGGTGATTCAAAACCTGATACGCAAAATGGGTAGGTGGGTGTGGCTCAAGATGAAAGAGCCGGGGTTAGGTTTTGGTCTTTGTTTCCATAGGGGCCCAAAAAATGGTACCACCTTTTTAAGCCACTGCCGTATGTCAATAGGGAGACCACAATGGTGGTGGCTCAAATCGATTTCCCTTCAAACCGACCCAAAAAGGGGACTCCCTCAACAAGGACTTACACAAATGGTGAACCCAAAATGATGCAAGTAGGCGGCTGTGAGTTTGCCCCTACACAATCTCTGAAGGACTAATAGAGGGCACTAGTGATGGCTTCTGAAAAAGGATCTGCAACGCAGCCTGTGTATATTTGTTCAAGTCTGTCCTTCGGCTTTTCAAGGGCAGTTGAGAACGCACCAGACACCTCGGAGGACAAGGTGCTTTACCCGCGATCTCAAGGTAAGGGTCTTTGGGTGGCGTCCTTTCATTTGCCACTCATGGCATTTTGCTCAGCGAGTGACACCTGCCTTTGGAGGTGACAATGTGAAACAATCATGTTGAAATACTCGCGATATACCAAATCTCATGGATTCTCATGGATTCTCTGGAAAGAGCTGACGCAGGCCTTCACACAATTCTCGTGGCCATTCAGTGCAGCACAGTGACTCAGTGGCTCGGAAGCCGGCCATCATTGTCTTGCACCAAAAATGAGTCTGGAATTAGGCGCTTCGTGGCGTTTGGAGAGGTCAGCCGAGCAAAATGGCTATCTGCTAGAGACCAGGGTGCCCTTTGCAAGGGGTACCGGGTACCCTTTCCATGGTGGCATGATCATTCTTTTGGCAGCATCCTAAGGTGCACGCTTGTGATAGGGCGCTGCTCGAGTGAGGGCTTGGTCTGCTCAGTTTCTTCAACGCCACTAAAGGACCATCACCTGCCAACGGGGCCTGAAAAGCAATCCATCCCCATTTGGTGTCGAAGCTATTTGGGTGCGTCTTCGTTCCCCCAAAAGTGTCCCTTTGGTTTCCCTTCAGAACCACCAACATCAAACAGAAAACGAGCCGCACATTTGTCTGTGGCTCAAAAAACAAAAAGGTACCAAAATGGGTTGCCCTGGTAAGTGGAAACATGGGTACCAAAACCCGCGGTTTGCCCCTCCTGTTTCATTTTGAGCCACAGCCATTTGGCGTCCAGAGACTTGGAGCTTTGCCTCACTTACGCTTCCGCCCCCCATCCCATCCCCGCCGCGAAGAGCTTATCGGAGTCGATCACACCCAGAAGCCCGAGCGCCACCTGCGCCGTTTCAGGGCTGGGGTACATCAAAAATCCCCCGAAATCAGACAAGGGGGGAGAGAGGCGAACAGCTTAGGCTCTCACACCAAAAGCTCAGGTGATATCCCCAGCTCCGGCACTCTCTCTGAAAGCTGGCCCAAATCACTCCAGAGCCGATCTGGGCAGACTGCATAGTTTTCAGCTGTTGGTGGAAACAACATGTGCCATATCCCACATAAGAAATGCTCCTTACTTGTTTACCTGCTACCCCTCCCCTTCCCCTCCCCGGCATTCCCTTTTAGTAGATCAAATCCTTTCATATGCGGGGGGTGCATTGGGGTGTTTGATTCCCCCCGGGGCCGCTTTTGCATCCTTAGCAGCATCGCCAGCATCGCCAGCACTATCTGAATGGCATTCTGCCAAAACAGGAGCACAGGGTCAAATGAAGGGCCTACTCGTGTCTTGTGGCATTCAACATGTTCAGCCAAAAATTACGATGTTTGGATGGTAATACTAAAAATATTCATGGTTTAAAGTCTGAAAAAAATATGGCCTGAAAGACTGCAAATCTTAGTGGCTTAACGTGTTAAACATCTTGATGATTGAGAATCTGAATTTGTCCCGTTGGAGTGCTCCCATAGGAATTCTCCCTTTGGCATGTTGTATCGGACTTTGCCCTTTGGACATTCCCCCTTTAAAGTTTTCTCCACTGGATTGTTCCCTTTTGTATTCTCCCTGTTGTCCCATTGGATGTTTCCCTTTGGATCTTTTCTTCGACCAGTTTCTCGTTGGAATTGTCCCTTTGGCAATTTCCCATTGGAAGTTTGCCATTGCAAGGCTCGCATTGGAGTTTCCCTTTGGAATTGTCCCTTTGAACAGTTTTTGTTTGGAAAGGCTTACTTACGCGCAAGATCGGCGATTGCTAGCAAGTCCATGTGTCTGCATTTTCTCCATTAGATGTGTCAGGTGTTTGTCCATTAATATGTCGATTTCAAGATTTCTGGCCATCAATATTTCTACACGTCAAGCCACTAAGATTTAAAGATGTTCCGCCACTACAATTTTTAGATTTTGAGCCAGTAAGATTGTGCGCCCTCGGGATTCTAAGATTTGAAGCCCAAAAGAATTGAATATTTGAAACAATTCAGATGTTAAGATTTAGACCATGAACATGTTAACGCGTGAAGCCACACAGATTTGAAGATTGTGAGCCATTCAGATTTTTCAGATTTTAATCCATTTAGATGTTCAGGTTGTCAGCCATTGATATTTCAATATCTTCACAGGTGAAGCCACTAAGATTTGAAGATGCTCAGCTATTCCGATTTGTGATGTTTAAGCCAGTAAGATGTTAAGCCAGCAAGGCATTAATACGTTCAGCCACTAAGACTTTAATATTTCACTCCATTAAGATTCTAAGGTTTGAAGCCATTCAACTTTCAGCCATCAAACAAGTTTACAATGCGAGACTCCCAATGAGAGCACCCAAACAAAAATCCAAAGACAGACTTCCCATGGAGAAACTCCAATGGAAAAATCCAGTAAGGAAAATGGTTTCTGGGAGAATTCCAAAGGGAAAGTCCAATAGGACAATGCCAAAGAGAGAATTCTCATGGGGAATGAAAGGGGGAAAATTCCAAAGGGACAATTCCAATGGGACAATTCCCAAGGACAACTTCCAATGGGATAATTCCAAAGGCCAAACTCGACACCTGTAAGAAAACAGGCCTGTGACGTCGGCGGTCCGAGCTGGAGGTGTTAAAGTGTTCGAGGGTCGCGGGCTTCGGGAGGGCTACCCAAATTTTTGTCCACACGGAACCGCCCGCTTGCCGAACATGAAACCAGGAACCCTGTTGGGGATGTCCAAAGGAAACCATGGAAGAGGTTCCGTCTTTGTGCTCAGAAGCAGCTGCTGGTGTTTCCCCCCTTTAGAAAAAAAAAAAAAAAAAACACGCACCTTAAGGGTAAGAAAAGGCAGGGGCTCACGATGGCTCACGCCAAGTGTTGTGTTGGACTATGCCAATAGACCTGTACCAAGCGTGGTCTGATGCACTCTGCAAATGAGGCTTCTTTTGGTCTCCCCAGATTCCCCAGCCCATGGTTCATGGTTCCGCTTTGAACCGCTTCCCGAAAAACACAAAAAATCACAAGGGGGAGGGTACGCTGTGTTCGAAACGAACCCCGTGGATAGATGTTGGGCCTGACTAAGACTTACCCTCGTACAAAGGCGTAAAGGGGGGAGGCACTCCCAAATTCTGACTTTGATACCCGCGAGTCAAAACTTGAGACTGTTGTTCCCCTTTTGCCTTCCCTCCGACCAACAAAAACCAGTGTGTCTCTCTCATTCTTGGATTTGGACGCAACTTTGTCTCCACCAAAAAAGGGGTACCAACTCCAAAAAACGATTGGCAATTTGGTGGTAGGGTTTCCCATCTACCCTCTAAAGCCAGGGATCCGTTCCAATCCCAAACCGATCACAACCACCAGTTCAGGGGGCTTCCCTTTCAGTCCACCAAAAAGTTGGGTACCCACGTGGGGTACCTTTCGCCCAAAGCCACGAGCAACTCGAGCCATAGGTCGCCTGCAGCACAGGCACCTGGAAGGCGATCCCGGTCGCGAAGCCCATACCTGGGAGTTGATTCGAGCCATGGCCGTGGGTCAAAAATACCTATCAAAAATGGAACCCTAGAACCTGGTAAGTGGACACATGGACGAAAACCTGCGGTTTTTTGGGGTGGTCTGATTTTGACCCATACCCACATGGCTCCCTTAGATCTCTTTGTGGAGTTCAGCCGTTCTTCCTCCATGCGCGTGGTGCTTCTTTTTTGGGGGTGGCTCTTTCAGCGAAAGGAGAACCGAGAACCCCAGCCAATTTAGAGGGTCGGGGAGAAAAGGCGAGCTACCCACATCGCTTCCGAAGAGAGAGATGGGGGCAACTGCTCTCATCCTTTTTCGAGCGCCTTTTTTTTCCCATTGTTTGTTCAAGTCCATGAACTTAGGGAGTGAGACTGTACTTAGCGAAATGAGACGATGCCCCGGAAAAGGCCGGGCTCCGTTTGGGCAAGCCAACTCGTCTTTCCGCCCATTTTGTAGGGTTTCGCAAAGGAACCGAACAGGAAAGACACGGAGATCCGAAGGTCCCGGAGATCCGAAAAAGGTCAGATTCTAGTTCAGTTGATGCCCATTGGGATGGTCAGCCCATGTCAAACAAGCAGGGCATAACCTTAATTGCTTCTACCTGAGGAAACTGGGGTGAATTTTCTATGAACTTTCATTGGGACCTACGTACTAAGTGGGTGATATCTAAGTAGGGAGTGGATCCCTGCAAAAGCTGGGTCCTTGTTGGTTTTCCGTTCCTCGCTTCCTGAGCGGATGAAAGCTCAGAACGACCCCAAAAGGACTATAAAGGCGCCACAACATTGGAGGAGCTTTGTATTGGTGTTTCCGCAAGAAATTAACCCCGGCCTGTTTCCCGCGTCTTGTCCTCAAAAGTCAACCTCCAACATTCAAAGTGACGCATCTCACGGACCTAAAGCAGGATGGACACACCCAGATGCACGATTAAAACGGAACAAGCGTTGTGCACGGGTTGAAAGGATTGATCCAACGACACTCTTCGTATGTGTAGACAGTCGTAGGGAAACACCAAAGGAGCTAATTCCCATCTTCCACCCTTGTGGTTTGCTTCTTCTTGAGCCTCCCTTGAACGACTTGCGGGTGGTAGGAGGCTGCTTTTCGAACCTGAAGCTAGCAGGAACTTGTGAGCATTTCAGGACCCAGAGGCTTCGGACGAATGCTTCGGACGAATCTGCCCAAAGGTCCCGGACATGGAAAGGAAAATGACCTCTTGGAACACCTGACCATACAGGAAAAAATCACTGGAAAAATGCGCTCGGAAACTGTTGAGAACTGGAAAAAAATAACTTGGAAGACACATCTTGCTCAGTTGACCTCAAATGGAGCAAAGCTGGAAAACTTCAAAAAGACAAACAACTTTGGGCTAGTGTCTTGCCGCCTCTATGTGTTGGGACCATCTCACGCCAAGAGGAACCACGCAGGCAAGAGGACAGTTCCCTTAGACCGTCCAGACCGAGATCTTGAGAGACTTCGTCCCTCAAACTGCTATTCGCCGACTTGAGATTTCAGACATCCCCAAAAAGGACTGTGGGGTCGAGCACTCCTTTTGCACCCCCGGATCCAACGATTTTATCCCATGCCAAGGTGCTCAAGATGAACTCGAAGTACTGGTCAATCGAGAACTGGCTCTCAATGACGTCCTTGCAGCGCCGAAAAAGTGTTGAACAACATAAGCCAGGTGTCAAATCGAGTTGGGGGGGAGGCCCCATCCCCATCCCCATCCGCCGTTGGTCTCATTTTTCTGGAAATTAAGAACCATGGGCCGTTTGGTCCTCGGACAACACGTCATTTGCAGAGGGTATCCTACTTCAAATTGGGGATGCTTTTGGGGTGTATTTAGGGATGTCTTTGCGGCTGTCTTGGGTCCCCCCGAAAAAGAACGCGGCAGCAAGAGGGCCGTTCCTGCGAGTAGCCCAGGAAGAAGCCCAGGGCGGCCGGGGACAGCACGGAGAAGGAGAAGATGGCCCCACCTTTGTCATTTTCTTGGGCCTCAATTGACCCCACTGGACCCAAGACTAAAAGGTCAGCCTCCCACCAACTAACATGGGTTTGTGCACAAGCCCCTTTTCCAAGAGGAGACTTGTCTTGCTACAGGAGTCTGTGCACTTCCACGCTTGTCGGGAGGGTAACCTTTGGGGATGACTAAAAATGGAACTCACTCAAGCCCCGGAGCTCAGGCAACGAGGTTCCGTGCAGAGTACACTGCCCCAAATTTTGGTTGCAACGACCCCGCTGCAAAAAATGAACGGTGGTTCACTGTTTGTGGGTTCAATGGAGAGCCCCTTGACTTCGCAAAGTTGAAGTCTGAAGATTCAACCCCAATAGCCATCAAGAAACGGGGCTGTCTATTTTCGTAGACTGGAAGGGGTCTCTTCCCAAAAAAAGCTTCGGGGCTGTCTTTTTTGGAGTTGGTACCGTTGTGGGGGGTTTCTTTGAAGGGAGGCCAAAGGAATAACCACCATTTTGGGCCTTTCGGGGTCATGACCAAACAAGGGAGTTGTTCAAGCCTGAACCTACCAGTAGGACTTAAATCTTTAATCACTTCAGTCAAAGGCAAAGATGTAAGGTGCCAAACAACGACCGAGTCACAAAATGGAGATCCCATGAGTGTCTGATGCTTCGGGATGTTTGAGTCTGAAATGGTGAACCTAAAAATTGAGATGCGAAAGCTAACCTCGGTTGCTTTCTGCTCCCCTGCTGAAAGTTTAACTTTTAGTCGTTCAATGGAAAACCCATTCGCTGGCAAAAGTTAAAGTCCTAACATCCAAGCAAAATGCACCAAAGTCCAAATGCTGGAGACTTAAACACCAACAAAACAACAAGTCAACATGTCACCCCATGCACTTGCCGCGTGATCCAAAAGAAGGCTGTTGATTTTTTCGGAGGCAGTTTTGGGAAATAGAATCACCGGCTGCCCCCAGCATAGAAGCCTCTCCGCGTGGGGAACGGAGATGCATGTTGAAAGTCCGGCTAGTAGTTCTGTTGTTTTAGCCGGAGTTTAGTAAAGTTGGGTTTTCTGACTTATTACAATGGTATTGTTCCATGTTCAAAAAAGCAACTTATTGGTAAACACCACTGGCTTCGACTTCAGGTTCAATCAGTATTTAGTAGGCTAATTTTGCTACTGTTGGCAAAATTGATTCCACGCTAAACATATTGCTGCTTACTCTTGAATTGATCATATGATTATTTATGATTTCTGAGGATCTTTGTTCAAATACTGTGCAAGGAAGAATCGGATCCAGTTTAGTTGTGTTAAGTCATGGTGTTGTATTTAGTGCTTGTGTATGTGTTCTACTTACTTTACATGATTGGGTGGGAGTGTTTCAGGGGGGAATGGGGGCGAAATGTCTACCCTGGGGTAATAATCAAAATGGAACCCTGGCTTGAACAACCAACCCCTTTTTGGTTCCCTTTGATTCGATCACTCATTTCGGACGGCACTTGATAGAAACAGCTAGAGCAGGCTAAACATCCCTGCTCCCATGGGTCTGTCTGTCCTTTTGGGTTCCCCTCAAAACAAAAATAAAGTACCCTCCAAAAAAAAGGCCCACAAATTGGGGGCTAGGTCCATAAGCATCTTGAAAAGGTTCATGTTAGATGAATCTGAAAGAACCCCCAAGCCTCGAAGATTTCATCTTCACCCGGATCTGAACAGAACAAGCACAACAGGGTTGCTGACAGGAACTCCAGGTAAAATCGAATGACCCTAAAGCATCATTGGCTTTGGCTTGGAAGGGAGAGGTCACATCCTTCTCTTTTAGTGGAAACACAGTCTTTTTGTTGACATGGCTATGAATTTCAATAGGGAACCACCTCCAAAGTGGTTCGTGGACATGAATCCCCACCTCTGAATGATGTGGTTGTTTGAAACGGCCGTAAACTAGGGTTTTTGGTTGGGCACAAAGGGGGAGTCGGATTGATAATATATATATATATGTATATATGTTATATTTGAGGTTGAGAAATTAGCGGGAGGGCCTGTTTGAGACTCCAGAATGATTGGGGTGTTTAAGAGAAAAGCAACTACCCAAACAAGCGCTACCCCCTTTTGGGTCGGATGTTGTCCTACATGTCTTGCAACATTGACTCACTGGCTGAGTGGATGGCCCAAAAAAAGTCCAAACGTTATATTTACCACTAAAATGGTCTTCCCAAAAAGTTTAAGTTCACAAACTCAGGAAGTCAAACCAAAAAAACAATCAAACCAACTTATCTAAACCCGAGAGTCATGCTATGACAGGCCTTAAAAAACAGTAGCGGCGAGGGCCCGCGGTCACGCGCGCGCGCTATGCGCAGTGTACGCGCGGCGTGCGCGCGGCGTGCGCGCGGTGAGCGCGCAATGAGCGAGCAGCGCGCGAGCGGTGCGCGGCGGCACGCGCGGAATGCGCGCGGCGAGCGTGCAACGAGCCAGCGACGCGCGAGCAGTGAGCGGCGGCGCGCGCGAATCCAAGAGTCTCAAGCTGGTTCAGGGCGTTTGCTTGGTTTTGAAGAGTTGGTCGGAGCCGGCGCTATACGCAAACAGTAACAAGACCGACGCAAGATGAGGGCATCGCTCGAGCTCAAAGACAGAAGAAGTCGACCACTGGTGATCGAAGAAAAATAGCCCAGGATCCACACTTAAGGTGTTGCAAGTTCAAGGTTGCTCCTAGCAAAACTCATCCAAAGATGGAGTGACATGTGTTTCAAGTTGCAGGTTCCAACCAGCATTACCAGTTGCAAGCGCAAGTCGTTAAACAAGGAGTCAAGCAAGTCACAAGTTGGGGCTGCTCCACCCATGAGTGTCATCATCTCATCAGAGTATAGTTGCATTTTGGCAATTTGTGGCCGTAGCAGGTTATTTCTATATCAGCCATGAGTCAGGAAGAAAAGACATGAATCAGGAATCGTCGCGTGATGGATCAATCATGAGCCTGACTCACCCTCAGCGCCAATAGCAGTTTTGGCCCAGTTTGTCTTTGGACATCAGATCAGGATCGGATTGATATGAGCTTGACACGCGCCCGCAAGTCTCTGGCCAAATATGGTCAAACAGGAAGCTTGCGCACTGTGCGTTCAGGCCCCAGTCAGTTAAGCAGCTTAAGCAGCGTGTGTCTATGAAGTTGGCCACGATTGTTCAGGGCACAAGCCCGCCGATTCCTGAGGATGATGTCAGTCTCAATGTCAGTCACTGCCTCTCTTTTACCGCCCTTCTGCAACAAGCCCTTTCCTTTGGTGGCTTGCCATAAGCACCGCGGTGCCTCCTATGGTGCACCGGGTGTACGCGTGCGAGATCTGAGAGGCTGAGAGAAGCACCTGTGAACATGTGGGAACGCAATAGTTGACTGGCGCCACCTTCATTTCAACTTTAACTGGAAACTTCACTTTTGACTCTTGACGGTTGACAGAGTGAACTTTAAACAAACTAACTTTGCGAGATCGCCGCAAGCAAAGTCATGATGTAATGTATAGCTACTTGACCTGCGTCGCACCGATTGGTCCATGACCAGTGTCAGTGTCACTCGTGACATGACTCGTGACACGACTCGTGACTCATGCCTCACATCAAACAAACTCGAGCGTTTGGTGCGCCAGCAATCTTGTTTCCTTTTGGGTGTCGCAGGTAGCCCAGCATTACGTTGGAAGGGGCCACCGCATGGTTCCGGTCGGCCAGTCCCATTGTGCTCAACATCATGAGTCGCATGAATCACGATGACTAACAATATAGGGCCGTAGGGCGCGGCGAAGGTTTTCCCCTAGCTGTAGATTGCGGACGCGGATTCGGACTCAGGCAACCCAGGAACACTACCCGACTGCGTGCGAATCGGATCTGCGAATCAGTGAATTAGTGCACCGGTAATTTGACGATCCTGACATGGGCCATGAGTGTTTGGTTTTTGAAGCTTGCCGCCTTTCCGCTTGCAGTAGCTCATGCGCTAGATGTTGCCCCGTGTGAGCCGGTGCGCAACAAACAGCTGTCTATAATTGGGTGGAAACCACCTGCCAATTGACGACACAAGTAGTAGCTTGCGAGATGCGAAATTTTGACTGGCCCTTGTACAGCACGGCAGCATCGTTCAAATCACATGATTCTGCAGGTATGAGTCATCAGATGACACGCCAGCCATCACTAGCTGAAGTTGAACTGACAGCGACACTAGATAGCTGAGGCAAAAATCCCAAGGCCTAAGATGAGTAAATCACGGCAACATATTTGGCTTAAACCAACCACCACTGGGTGCAGTGTTCAGTCCTCCGGACAAACAAATCATTGCGCAAATGCAAAGTGTCAGTGTGGTTTGTTGTCTCAAAATGCTTGCCTGGCGGAAACCTGGTTGGCAGTTGACACCACATTGTTGCATTACGCAAGCAATGCGCATTGCCGAGCGCAAGGTAGACAGCGGATGTGATGAAACATTGCATGTGACTCAAGCTCCGTGGCCCAGCGTCTGCCTGCCACATCAGACGCTGCTTTTTTTTGCGGGGCCAGCAGTTTCTTCACCAAGTCAATAGTATTTCTCATATGTAGCTTGGGCGAAATGCTGCGCCACCAATGATGAATAGTTGAGATGATGAAACATTGATGGGACGCAACACGCACAAACTGGCCCCAAACATGTAAACCATAACGTTTGATTGGTTTATTTGATGCTTGACTGGCATTCGCACGATGGGTTCTGATATTGTTTCCATCCTTCCGCAGATACGACTAGAAATTGGCGACATGCGTGCGACTATTGCGCTGCCTCGGGTGAGCTAGTCTGAAACTTGCCAAATCAATATGTGAAGCGTGAGCAGCATGTTGATTTGGCAAAATCGTGTACCTGATTCATGACGGGTGGTACAATGTAGTACAAGTGCAAGTATTCGGGCCAAATAAACCACCCGCCAAGTGGTGCTGGAGGTTGCGTTTAGTTCTCAGCGTCGGTGACAGACTGGCGCTCACGCATCAACAGCTACCGCACGCTTTGAGGCTGCCGACGCAGCACTTGTATTTCTGGCGACACGGTGTGTTGAAGAAAGAAACGCAAAGTGGAATGCCATCAGCTGGTCTGGCCATAACGCCGTACAAAACCAAAAATGTATACGTGCCCATGGACACACATCGTCTGCAAACCCCCCCCCCTCAGCGAACAAGTGTGTCACGTGCGCGCGCAGCGTGTGGGTGTGTGCGGGTGTGTGCGCATTGCGCGCGCGCGCGTGAACTATACGCGCGGGCGCGCGCGCGCCGTACGCGCGCACTGCACGCGCGCACTGTACCTGCTCACCGTACGCGCGCGCTGTACGCGAACCGTACGCGCGGACTGTACGCAAAAAGTGTGCGCCAAAATCTGCTGCGTCTTTTTTTCAAAATGTGCTGCCTTTTGTTGAAAATCTGTTGCGGTTTTTCAAAATCTGCTGTGACTTTTTACACGTGCGGTCCACACGTGTGGTGGCCGTACGGTACGGGGCGCGCGCGCGCGCGAAATGTACGCGCGGAGCGCGCGCGCTCTGTACGTACGCACCGCGCGCGCGCACTGTACGTACCGTACGCGAACCGTACGCGAACCGTACGCCCGGATTGTACGCAAAAAGTGTGCGCTAAAATCTGCTGTGTTTTATTCAAAATCTGCTGTGTTTTTTTCAAAATCTGTTGTGTTTTTTTCAAAATCTGCTGTGTTTTTTTGTACGTACGGTCCGCGCGTACGGTGGCCGTACGGCACGGCGCGCGCGCGCGCCGTGTACGTACGTGCGACGCGCGCGCGCGCGCGCGAAAACCGCACGTGCGCGCACCGTGCGCGCGCGCTGTACGTACCGTACGCGCGAACCGTACTCGCGGACTGTACGGAAAAAGTGTGTGCCAAATTTCGCTGTGTTGTTTTCAAAATCTGATGTGTTTTTTTTCAAAATCTGTTGCGTTTTTTTCAAATCTGCGGTGTTCTTTTCGCACGTACGGTCCGCGCATACGGTGGTCGTAAGTTATGGCACGCGCGCGCACGGCGCGCACGTACGTGCGGCGCGCACGTGCGCGCGTGTACGGTGTACAGCGCACGCGCGCGGTGTACGTGTGCGGAGCGCGCAGTGCGCGTGTATGGCGCGCGTGAGACTCATGTCCGTTGCGCAGCCAGCGCGTTCAGCTGCTGATGCTTTTGAACCCAGCTTCAGGTCATTGGGTTTGCTTTGCTTTCTCAGTAGCAAGAAATACCCACACTCATTGACTCCAATGTGAGGACGCGCCGGTTTTCCACAAGCATACACTTAAGGGCAAGAGCTGCTCCAGATGCAGGCGTTGGGGTTCCAAAGAAAGGTTTTGGACGCTTCTCAGAAATCAGATGACGGACCTGGCTGGAAACTGGTCCCCGGACATCAAAATATAGTATGTAGGCTTTGACACTTGACAACCGTGGCGATGGTTGCTTGAATCTTTCTTTTCAGTAGACTTTTCAGATTGCAGAACCTATAACGAATCACTCTACTCCAGAATCTGGAGCCCCGAACTTCATACTGGTCCGATTCACACTGGTCCACAACATAGATGAGATTGATGATTTTCAGGGCTGCCGACCCCACGCCAAAGGATGTGTATGTGTAAACGCATGGGTACTTAAGCCTGAAGCTTGTGAAACGTCTAAGCTGAATCCCTTGCAAGGGGCTTATCGGGTTGTTTCTTAGCTAAACGCCGGTGATATTGGTGGTCATGACCACTTCAAGCAAACAATAAACCGGTATCTTTCTTAAAGAACTGTTGATGCACTCTAGTCTGCGGATCACTGCAACATCAACTCTCAAGAAGCGGACAGGCGCTGGGAATGTCAGACACCATTAGCGTCTGGGACAAAACGCTCTCAAAATGTTGCCCCTTTGCGTCGCCAGCGTCACCAGCAAATCCAAACATGACATTTGAATTGTAGAAACAAAACTAAAGAAACAAATTGAGACTAGCGAAGTTCGGGCGGCTGTGTCTGTCGAGTATTCCAGCTGAGTATCCCGCGCAATGTGTTGAAATCGTTTTCTTGATTAAAAAACACTGGTGATGATGCTCAAAGTGATGACCGCTGTAAGTAAACAACAAATCGTTTCCTTTGCTAAAGCATTGGTGATGCTGAGGGACCTACTCTAGTCTACGGTGGCCCAGAAGGAATCGAATTCCAAAGGCCCAAAGGACAGTTTGCGCTGCGTCACTTATGATTCCGATCTACATGCATATATGTATGTATGTGGACATAACAGGAACGCAGCAGCACCATCCTCAACACCACCAGCGCAAGCATTCCCTGGACCAAAACACAAGTGATGCTGGGGAAGACCTGATGTGAGGTTGCGAAAGTTGCACTCAAGATCATAGGACCTTTTCTTGGGCATCATGCTATAACAAGCATCAAACTTCTTGTTTGGCGATAGCCTGCTTCCGTTCAGTGTCTTGCCAACGTTGCCAAATTTGACCTACTTCATTCTCGACGGCTTGTTTAGCCCTACGTGCCTTGGGGGCCAAACAAAAAGAAGCCCGCTTCCAAGCAATGCGCTCGGAAGGTCTGCTCAGCCATCAAGAAATCCCTTACCATTAAGATCCAAAGGAGCCAGCGGCGCAGGTAAAAGCTATTCTGGATGGAGAGTGAAGTGCAGTAATGACGATACGAGCCGGGTCCTACATCTACGCCGGACTCATCGCTGGCAGCAAACACATAACGCTGAATTTTGAGTCTGAGCTGGACAGTTAATGAAGTGAATTAATGAAGCAACCGCCCTTTCTTTTTGAAGGAGGGGTCTGCGGATACTGTAACTACACAACAACCGCTAACGTTGAATCTACAGAGACTTCAATACTTTGAGACACATTGGCTACAATTCCTACTTAGCTCATTAATTGCAGCTTCACCTCACCTTCATTCAACAGCTCCCAAAACACTGTCAAACGCAACCTTGCCTTCAATTTGTCTCCCCTGCGAGATTTGAGACCAGCACGCGCTTGAGCATCTTCATTGCTAGCGTGATTGAACCATCCTACGCAAGATCTGGACGCTTTGGTGAAAGAGTTGCTTGTCCATGTTCATTGTTTTGACGGTTCCGTCGTTCGTCGCTTAAAACTTGGTCCAAAGGGTCGTAGTCCCTCAGGAAACAATGGACTTTTATTGTTGTTGCACTCGATGATCCCAATCCTGTACTAGGGTCGTTCGTTATCTTTGTTAGCGTTGTGATTTGTTCTGTCATGTTTTGTTTTATGAGTTTATGCCCATTTTTCCCACAGCAGCCAAGGCTACAGGAACATGACACTCGAGATGATCTCCTGGCTGTTTGCGTGCTTGGCGCTTGAGAAACTCTCATCAACACTCATCTCAGGCAAGATAAGTAGTAAGTAGTACAGTATGCGCGGCCGGCCCTGTGACAAACTACATGTCTTTTGGCAGACCACTCCAGAAAAAGCCAAGGTTGAGTCTGAGTTGCGGCTGGGCTGAAAAAATGAGATCTGTGTGGCCTGGTCTTGCGGTGCGCAAGCTCTGCTTGTTTTTGCTGGGCCTGATGCCAGCTGACCAGCATGTGAGCAGAAACATGTGCCACATGATATATGTCAATCAATCGCGATCATTTTATCAAATTATAGTTCATACACATGTAACACGTGCGATGTTTACTTCATACGCAAGTGGTTGCGTGCGCAGCTGCGCGTGAAAACGCACAACCGACTTCGAAAAACACGTCATATTTGGACAAACAAATCAGGTGTGGAAAAACAAAACATCTCGGCACACACACTTTCGCCGCAAAGTCTGAGTGTGCTAGACCGAAGTGGACCACACTGCGCGCCCGCCACACCGGATGCGGCATCGCGCGCGCGTCGCACGTGCACCGCGCACACACTGCGCGCACCGTACGCGCACCGTACGCGCACCGTACGCGCACCGTACGCGCACCGTACGCGCACCGTACGCGCGCCGCGCGCCAACTGTACGCACGCATCGCGCACTGTACGCGCACCCCACCGTACACATACGGTAGCCCCCTATCATGGAAGGCTCTTTCATGACTCTCGAATTTAGCTAAAAACCAACAAAACAAAACAAATTCTTGAACAACTAAACAATCAAGCCAACAAAAGACGCGGCATGGATTTGAGAATGTTTCGGCGAACCTCCCACACAAACCCGTGCTAACCTCCGCTCGGGCCCCGGGGCTGTAAAAGAGGATCGCGGAGGACAGCACCTGGGCAGTGAGTGAGTCACTCAGGAAACTTCCGAAGACCGAGAGTAGATACTTAGCTTCTGGTAAGGACGAGGACCAAACAGCGTAGAATCTCTGGGAAGGAAAACCACAAGAAGTAAACAACTTCATGGTTCGATAGGCAGGGAATGAGAAATGGAATGACCGTCGTGAACCATCCAACTGGTGGTCTCCTTTAAGGGAATCCCTAGGTTCGTTCCGAACACCCTGGAACCTTCCCTACTGAGCTGGTTTGCACGGGGAACTGTTCCCGGGTATACACCAATTCTGTATCTATATATATAATATCTACTTGCTGGTTCGAGAGGCAGGGAATGAGTGACGGAATGACCCCCGAGAAGAACCAACTGGTGGTTTCCTTTATCGCACCAGCACGAAAGCCATTGAGGTCTGGTCACTTGGCTCGGGTTGCTCCCCGTGGCATCCTCAAGGGTGTGATTGCATTGAGGGGTCGGGGTCTGCATTGGAGGCAAAAAAACATGGGTGACACCCAAGTCCTTCAAAAAGCCGGGCCTGGGTAACTGGACCCCTCTTCCCCCCCGGGAAAAAGGTCTATGCTTCCAAAAGGTCTGAGGAGCTAAGGTCACACCCACACCAAAACCAGCCATGGTAAGTAGGGATCTCACCTCTAGGCAGCCTAGGCATTGCACGAATTAGGGTTTCCTCTGGTTGCCTGTGGCTGCCGTAGGCACTGGAACAGAAAGCAAATCTAAAATTCACCCCACCCCGCAAACCCGGTTGCCAAGTGACCCAGCTCGAAAAAGGCAACCTTTTAGGTGACATTGCTTCGTTGATCGCGTGTTTAGTTGGGAACCAACCAAACAACTGGGCTGCTCTTCCACCCTGAGCAAGAGGTCAAACCTCTTCCTGAACCCTCAAACTACCCTTAAAAATGGGATATCACCCCATCATTTTGGGGGTCAAACCAATTTTTAAGGGAATTTTGAGGGTTCAGGTTGTAAGTCTCATGGAAAGGCCATCTGCCTAAAAAAATGTCTCAGGAGCGTTTCGGTCCGCACCAAAGACCAGGGATCTAAATCCGTGACATGTGCAGGATGGAAGCAGAAAACTCCGAACTCAGCCCGGTCCGTCCAGACGCAGCTCTCCGAATCAGAGCCAAGCGCCTTGTCCCGGCAAGTTACCCGGAGTCAACGTGAGAATGGCAAAACCAGGGTGCATGGAAACCTCACAGATTCGCTCCTTTGCTCGTGGCTTGGTGGCCAAATAGTTTTACCCCCGCTCATTTGCTCGTCCCAAAAAGCCCGTCAGATAGGGCCAGCCAACCGCCAAAGATCCACACAGCATCGTTGGACCCTCCGTTGGAGAGGTCTGCCCCTCAAGGGACTAAAACCACAGACACCCCATTGCCGTAAATCCCTCCGGACACCCCTCACTAAAACCAGAGACACCCCTCAAGTTGGACCAAAACCAAAACCACGATCAACTCAGGGGATTCGTAATTCTAGGGGTTGTTTCCTTTTCCATTCTTTTCAACCATCGGTTCGTTTCGTTTACACCAGATCCGTTTTTCTCCCGGGTTTCTGGAGGCTTTCTAGAAAGATCCGAAGATCCCTGGGTTCAGAATGGGGTACCTACCCTTAAAAGTTTGGCATCTTCACTTTCCCCAAGGCTGACCTGTTCATGGCTTTGTTGTGGCCCTTGAAGGGCCCCTTGGACCTGGCGGAAGGTCTTGGTTGGTTGATTCCGAGATTCTTCGGACCCAGGAACCCCCCTCTCCGACTTGGCCAAGCGGAGTGGAGCACTTGGCCGACGAAGGTTTGTCCCACTGGCGAAGCCAGTTGGAGTCTTTTGAAGAAACGCGGAAAACAGGTGGTTTGCCGGTTTTGCCTCATTGCCGTACCAAAGTCAGCCCTGAAGTGACAGACGAGAATCAGCTAGAAGGTCACCCTTTTAGGACCCCAACCCAAAATATATGGCAAAGAAGAAGGTCAAAGCATCACTTCTTGAGTGGATTGGCCAAAAAAGGTCTGAACTCTTTACCACCAGAACGGTCCAAGCCCAAAACATTTCAAGCCCAGGGGCTCAGGAAGTGAGGAACCGGATTGCAAGTCCCTTCCCCTGAGCAATAGGTGTACCTGGACCCTCAAACTACCCATTAAAATGGGTCTCACCCCATAATTTTGGGGGTCAAACCCATTTTTATGGGTAGTTTGAGGGTCCAGGTATCACCATTTCCAGGTGTATCACCGAAAAGCCAACCTTCCGCCAGGTAGGGGCCCTTCAAGGACACAACAGAGACCAGCCATGACAAGGTCGGCCTTGGGTAAAGTGAATATGCCAAACTTTAAGGTAGATCCCCCATTCTAACCGGGCAAAAAAGATGCTTTTTTGCTGGGGGCCTAACTCCAGCCAAGTTATCTAGGGGTCCCCCATTCTGAACCCAAAGATCCGGATCTCTCTCGAAAACCTCCGGAAGCCCGGGCAAAAAACGGACACCGACACGGATCCGGCTTTTGGAACGAGGGATGGCTGAAAAGAACGGACTCGGAATCAAGCCCTAGAAACCTTCGACTTCGACAGCCCCCAGAAAGATCGTGTGCACCGACTGAACTGGCAAAACGAAGCCGGAACCGCCGGGGGTGAGTCGTTTGTTGCGAATGACCAGGAGGGCCAAAACGTGTGAAGCACCAAATAAGGCTCCCTCCAACTTGTGAACAAACACAACAATACCCATCTCCCCTCCCAACATCTAAACGGGTCCATGACCATCCCCCACTTGGGTGTTTGATGGTGTTCTCAGGTCAGTCAGTAATTAACCACATACATTATAACACATTAACATCATGGGCTACCTCCTCTTGTGTATCATGTTAGTTGGTGGGAGTGTATTCTGAAATGCAAATGGAAGTACCTAGAGTCTCCGTCTGACCCTTAAAAATAGGTTCATGACCCCTCAATTTTGGGTACTGACCAATCTTTTAGGTGCCTCCTTTTTTGTTTTGTGTGGTTTTGGTACCCATGTTTCCACTTACCAGGGCAACCCATTTTGAGTACCTTTTTGTTTTTTAAGCCACAGCCAAATGCAAATGGAAGTACCTGAACCCTGAAATTCCCGTAAAAATGGGCTTGACCCCCAAAATTATGGTTGGTGATGTCCCATTTTTATGGGTAGTTTGAGGGTCCAGGTACACCCTATCGGCCCAAAGACGGAACCCGCGGCGAGACCTGAGACCTCTGTCTCTGAGCCGCCGGGCGGTGGGCCCCACCACGCCGCGCTCGCTGCGGGTTAAGGCCGGGGTGAAGTACAAAGCGGCCTGCGGAGGGAGCTCCGGGCCCAAATATGGTTGTGCGGCTGTTGCGGAATTCACCTGATAGGTGGACTGGATATCCATCAATATGGTTGATTTCACCTGGGAGGACTGGATGTCATCAATATGGTTGACTATATGTGGTTGAGAGCATCCAGGCCTTGAACCCCTCCCCCCAGATTGTCATTATCCAAATTGGGTCAACCACGGACTTTATTTTCATGGGGCGTTTGGTTAGGGTTGACTAAACATGGTTGACTGAATATTCTTCTTGGTTGACAACATGTCGGAAGTGGGTGGATCAGTGGATGGTTGCGAAATCCGTTTGCACCATGAAATGCAACCATGGCTGAAACCATAACGGTGGTTGGTATTTACGTTTGGGAATCGCATCGTTCCAGGGTTTCTTAGACGGTGCAGGATTTTGTCCCATCCACAGTATGGTTGACTAAATATTTGACGTGGGTCGACTAAATATTTTTTTGGAGTACCCCACGTATGTGCCAATGTTAGGGTTGCCATGGTCAGGTTGGGGCTGACGAAGTATGTATGGTTCACTAAATATGTCTTTGGGTTGACTCAATATTACAAATGGGAAACATGGGTTGACCAAATATGATACATGGGTTGACTAAATGTTGGAAATGGGTTGACTAGATATTGTCAATAGGTTGACTGATTATTATTGTTGTTGTACATGAGTTCACTAAATATTGTTATCGGTTGACTAAATATATGCTTTTGGAGTACCGCAGGTTGAACCCCCCAAACCACACAAATGCCAATTGAGGGCAATCTGATTCCCATGCTACAGCCTTCCTCACAAAGGGGAGTCACCAGCAGGCGAGGAGGTCATAGTGTGAGTCCATGAGCTTGAAAAAAAGGTGAGATCCAATGATCTCACTCACTTGTAGACACCTAGAGTGGCTATGGGACAAAATGCATAGTCTGTTGGTACATTGCTTGACTTTTAAACAAACCCCCCAAAAAAGACAAGCAGAAACAGACACTGGAGGTTTGGAGGTGCACAGGAAGGGAAATCGAAGGAAGAAATCCTTGAAGGAAATTTAGGAGGGCCGCTAGACAACTTAAGAGCTCAGTTTTAAAAGTCAACAAAGTCAATTTGCTGAAGTGAATCGCTGTGCAAAAGTCGGTATGGTTGAAACCATAGCTGAAGGATGGTCTCCCTCCCACCAAACCTGGAAGCGCACAGACCCATTTCGGAAGCTTGGAAAAGAAGCCTGTGCATGTCCACGTTCGTTGGGAGGGTACACCAACAACTCTTGCTTACGCATCCCCTATTGGCTTTTTTGGATCGATCGTCACGCATGAGTCAAACTCATGTAGCATACCTCGACTGCTTAGCGATTTCAGGGACCGTCCCCCCAAAGAGGTACTCGTCTCTCACAAGCTCTGTATATCGTATCAACACCGCTTTGTTCATCACCCGACCCATAGGAAACTCAGCCAAGAAAACGAAACGGTGAGGCCGGAAAAGGACATAACATGGCTGTCTTTTTTGAAGGTACCCAGCCAAAGACAAACCCACAAAGTGACCCATGTTTTCAAACATGTCCTTTTTCATTTACCCTTCCTCCCACAAACGTGGCACCCTTGTACAGGATACTCTCCACATGTGCGGTATTAGCGTGAGGAATAGCAACTAGTTTCGCATGACACCAGTCCTACCTCAGTTTCTACGTATACCCAACAACATCAAGTGTTGGATTCTGGTCCATACTGCTGCAAAACCCACGGTGTCAAAGTGGTGCGAAGGCATTCACGGTATTCCTCCAGTTGCTTAAGTCCCCTTACAAAGAACTCTGTCCAGTAGCGATAGATTGCCTCCAAAACCGGCAGCAGAAATTGACAAACCATGGAAGCAAATGGGCGTAACTTCAAACAGGGAATATTCCCTTCACACCAACCCCAAAAAGGTAGCCTCAAAAAAACGACAGATCCAAATAGAAATAGCATAATTTCCAAAGAGATCCCATTTGGAAGACCTATTGGCCATCCCGTCGGCCTCGAAAAGCGCGTAGGGGAACGCAATCAGCAGGCCGACGGAGAAGGCAACCTGCGCAAGGGCTACGAAACCAAAAAGACGGCATTGGACCTTCATAGGCAGCGTTTGGCCGCTTGGGCCCTTTTACGAGATCCCAAGAATCTTAGGGCAGATCCAACAGGTGGGCGTGAATCTTCAGTAGAGACCCTTGACACAATCCAAATGAACACTGTCCAATGACCATGTTTGATTTCCAAATACAACAAAAAGATCATGGCCATTTGGCCATGTCAAAGCTCGGCGGCGAACCGCTCCCGAAGCTTCCGAACTTGGAGCGTTCATCACTTCCGATCGAGCGGATGGCCCAAAGAATTCCCCTGACTTGTTTGTTTGCCGCTAAAGCCGGTTTGCCCAAAAAAGCTCAAAGGAACTCGGGGAGTGAATTGGGTTCATTTTTATCTGTGCGTGTCGACTCATTTAGGCCTTCCTGGTGAGGCTGCTTCTAACCGAGGCTCGCTGGGTCTTTAACCCTCATCATAACTATAGGTGGCCTTCTGGAAAAGTCAATGGGTTTCCATGGTATGTGGAGAATAAAACCCATCTGGCTAACCAAACTAACCAAAAATGGCGCATATGGATGGCCCTTCGAAAAAAGAAGAACAAAAATGGTTTGCGGCCAACCCCACAGCATCCTCCCAAGTAGCACGGAATTACTCCCTGATTGACATGAAAAGGGTTGCTTTCAAGAATACATCCAAAAGCTACATGCTTTACAAGGGAGTGTTCGGGTAGAAGTTGCTTTTGTTTAGCTGGCCCGAATGCATACCTTGATGAAAATGCCGTTGAAGCATGTCCTCTACTTCAATGGAGGATCCCTTCTGATTCTTAGGGTGGACTTCTTTGTTGGATACTCCCGAACCTTGCCTCATACCTGGGGTAATGTTAACCCCAGATAGATTTATGCCCCGTTAGTGTAGCTCGGGTCTTCACTTTTCCAGCGCTCCCTCCCTCCGAGATCTGCCCAAATTCCGCGCACCGCTCCAGCAGTCAGCGTCATTTCATAGCCGTTCAGCCCACTTCTTCAGCTCCGGCGCGGCCTCCAGCCCATTCAAGATGGTCGGCATTGGAGCGCAGCTGAGCTGCTTAGCTGCTTTGCTGCGGGAGCAAGAGCGGCTCTTCACGCGGCTGAACTTGCGGCAGGTCGCTTTTGAGACCGCCCGGCGCCGGACCCGTTTCAAGTACAATAGCTGCGCCTTTTCCCACTCAGAGCACCCCTCAAAAAATTGGATGGGTTTGCTAGTCCGGGGTCAACGTTTCTCCAAAGATACCTAGTCAACCCAGTTTCGGCTCGAACATCACGGCCCGATCCAATCCGAGCCCCCAATCCGCCTTCACAGACACGAAGAAGAACTCCCCCGGCGCCAGCTGAACGAACTTCACCTGAAGCGCGCTGGACGTTCCAGCGAGCTGACTGGCGACTGATCTACTGCCCGGTGCCGGAAAAAAACAAAAGGGAGTCATTCTAATGGTCATGACGGATCCTTGGTGGTTTGGGGATTTGAACCCCTGGCCTTATATGGCTTGCTGGTGCAAGAGAAGTAGGGAACGAGAAATGGAATGATCCCAAGAAACTATCCACCTGGTGGCTTCCTTTATTTGGGAACTTGCAGGTTTATTCCCTCATTCCCTACTGAGCACCAGCAAGTCTAGCAGCCTCCCTCTAGTTGGTGGGCTCTCCGCTTTCTGATCCCTGCTAAAAGTGCATAACCTTTAGTACCTTTTACTTCAAATCCCAACCACTACACCCTCAAAACCTCAAAACCCACGGGGACGGCTGGGAACCGCCGATGTGGTTGGTTTGGATTGGTGGATTGAAATGTCCCAATCCAAGCCACAATCAAAGGTTACGAGATTATCAAGTGCTTGTAAAGCCCATTCATTCCGTTTCCCCCCGCCCCCTGCGTGGATAACCCAAGAACCCACCCTTAAAAACCTAGAGGCGGAAAACCGCTGGTTGCTTACTGTGGGGGCCAAGGGCTCAATGGCATCTAAGCATCATTGACCTCCACCGGAGGTGAACGGGATTTTGGAGGTCCCAAGATTCTTGCAACGATGTCATACCGTGCATCATGCATCTACGTTCCTTTTTCAAACATCCCCAACCAGCAAAAGCAGACGAAGCTCAAAGTTTGACCTTTTTGCAGACGTGATGTTTGAAACCATCATGTGAGAAAGGAACTCTGGGACGGCTCAAAGTATGGGTGTCCGATCCGAAAGGGTCCACTTGTTGGGGACCCTTCAGTTGGTCCAAATGGCTCTTGGGCAGACACACTTCACACTCAAGATGATTTCTGTCCCGTGAAACAACACCTGCACTCCGGGGATCGCATCCAAAACTTACCCCTTAAAACTCCAAGGCCTGGCGAAGTTAATCTTTTACAGACATATAGCCCATGTTACCCAAAAAGTTGAAAAGTTGTGTTTTTTAAGAGGTAAGAAAAGGAATCAAACGGGACGCGCCAATCCTGAAAAGTGCTTTGCCTTGGTTTCACTGGGGATTCACCTTCCCCGCGCTCAATGGCATCTAAGCATCATTGACCTCCACTGGAGGTGGACGGGATCTGCATTTGGACCCCAAGCAAAGGTTTTTTGGAGGTCCCAATATTTTTGTAACGACCCCCCTCCCAATTTAAAACATGCCCAAATAGCAGCCAAGACATGTTCTGTGATCGGCAAAAACCATTTAAAGCACTCCTGCCAAGGCATGACGCACGGCCTGTGGCCAGCATGGGTCTCAAGAACTTTTCGGCTCTACTGCGTCAGACTTGTCCCCTGGCGTCCCATGGGAACAAAACAAGATGCCTTTCCTTTTGTCGGTTGATTTTAAACCCAAACCAAAACCTTCAACCCTCATTAGGATAATGGTAGACCCCATTTCCCATTTTGATGATGACAATCCGGAAGTGAATTAACGGTGGTTGTTATGAACCCATCCTTTGAATGGTGGTTTGAACCTCAGCACGGATGTTCAATCGAATCCAAGGGTGATAGGCACGGTTATGAGTCAACCAAGCCTTGTTCCACTTATGACCCTGGTCATGACCTAAGGCTACGTAGCTCAACATCCCGAAAGAACAACACGGCTGCCACTGGGCAGTTCCTCCGGCTTGCCAGATGTGACTCACAGTCGCGCGATTCAAGACTCGTGGAACCTCTCGGCGCTTTCTTCGAGGTCCAAACCTCCAAAAACCCAACATCCTCCAATGGTCCAACGATGAATATCGAAGAAAGCCGCATACCAAGACCACGCTCGAAGTTTCGGGCCCGCACGACTTGCTGAAAAAAATAGCCGTCGCTGATCGTGTTCGCCGGAAGCTACCGCATGGCCCGAAAGAGGCCCAAGAAAGCCAAGGCTTGTTGCCATCGCCCACCCTTCTCACAAGCGCTGATGGCTGCGCTGCAGCTGATCTTATCCGGCTCCACCCTTGCCTGAGCCATGGCCCCGAAGAGGCCCAACGCTTGCTGCCACTGGCCCCCCTTCTCGCAAGCGCTCATCGCTGCGTTGTAGCTGATCACGCTCGGCTGAAGCTTTGCCAGGGGCATGGCTCCAAACACGCTCAACGCTTGCAGCCACTGCCACCCCTTCTCGCAAGCACTGATGGCTGCGCTGTAGCTGAACACGTTAGGCAGAACCTGTGCCAGAGGCATGGCCCCGAAAACGCTCAAAGCTTGCAGCCAACGTCCGACCTTCTCGCAAGCGCTGATCGCTGCACTATAGCTAATTACGTCCGGCTGAACCTTTTCCTGAGGCATGGTCCCCAACATGTCCAAAGCATTCTGCCACTGCCCGCCCTTCTCACAGGCACTAATGGTTGCGTTGTAGCTAAACATGTCCGGCTTAACCCTTGCCTGAGGCATGGCCCGAAACAGGCCCAAAGCTTGCTGCCACTGCCCGGCCTTCTCGCAAGCACTGATGGCTGCACTGTAGCTAAACACGTTCGGCTGAACAGTTGCCTGAGCCATGGCCCCGAAAATGCTTAAAGCTGCTTGCCACTTGCCGCCCTTCTCGCATGCACTGATCACTGCACTGTAGCTGATCACATCCGGCTGAAGCTTTGCCTGAGACATAACCCCAAATAAACCCAAAGCGTGCTGCCACTCTGCACCATTCCTGCAAGCACTGATGGCTGCATTGTAGGAAATCCCGTTTGGCTGAACCTTGGACAAAGGCATGTCCGACAGCGCCCAGCACGCGTCTCGCCATGCTGCCTGCTTTGCATAGCTGCTAATCTTCACAGTGTAGCCGCGCAGCCGAGTCAGAGTTTCACCAGTTTCACCTCTGGAAGGCTCTGGGAACCCCATGCTTAAGAGGGAAAGAAGGACAACGAGCATTCATAGGGGTGCCTTGCACGCAACACCTGACAAGAAACAATGCAAACAGGTTTCAGTTTGCTGGCAGTTGCCTGAAGAATCTCGCGCAGCTTGTGCTCGCTTCCGCGCCGCCTTGCCTTCCGGCGGCTCTTGTGCCTTGCAAATTGGTTCCCAAGGACACCCCCGCGCTGGAAATCTCTGGCGGGTGGCGGCTGTCTTGAGGGTCGGGCAACCTGTGCTCTTTTTTTTTACCACCCGACGCAGGTTCCTGTGGAAAGGAAAGCCAGCTGGACGTCCCCTCTAACGAAACCCAGACCTTCCGCAACAGCTGAAAGCTATTAAGTCTTCGCCCAAATAAGTTCCGGAGTCCGAAGTAGCTCCAAGCCGAGTTTGCGCGGGCTCCATGCGCCACTTGCTGGAGAAGGGGGTTCCGAAGGGTTCCGAATAGGCCATCGGAAGTGGTGGCAGGGGGCTGGGATTGGTGTTCATACCTGGCCTTCGGTATTTGAAGTTCGGAGAATTGGAAGCGGCGACTGCAAAAGAGAACCCTGAGTTGGGTTTGGGGAATTGAATGGCTTCTGTACATGATGAATGGGAAACCCCTCAACCCATCCAAACAACCGGACTCCAAACCACCCATTGCAAACAAGCTGACCAGCGGTCATTTTGGACCAAACACACCATCTCTACTCTTTGGTAGCTACAAACTGTGTTTTTTGCAGACCCCCAGTAAAAATGAACAGAACCAAAAAACTAAAAAACTAAAAAGCCAAAACACATGCCAAGAACAGTGAGGTAGTGCCTGGCCATGAGCGCTGAAAGATCGGCGCAGAAGCCGGGCTGGCGCCATCCATGGGGACCACTTGGACCCAAGCAGCGGGAGTCGCTTCAAGGGCCCTGTGGACGAAAGCCATCTCGCACCAGTGGGGAAACCGTGGAGTTGAAACCATCTGTTGGAATTTGACCAGGGCATCGAATCATTAACCAGGGCTTCTGAACGGTGCGTTTTATATTTTGATTTGGTCCACCCACCGTATGGAGGGGGGCTGCTTTCGGGTCTCCATCACAGCTTGGACCTCCTTGAAATCCCAGGGTCCTGGGAGCACGGACGAAATCCACGCCAGGCACCAGGATTGGTTGCAACCCGTCACAGGGCTCATCCATCCAAACTGGTGTGAACTATATATATATATATAGATATATCCAGCCCAAAAGAGTCAGGGGGTCAAACCACTCATCCATCCAAACTACTGAACTATGCGTATCCAGCCCAAAAGAGTCAGGGGGTGTCTCACCACCGCCCGTCTCAGGTCTCCTAGTATGTGGAACTCCAAATTTGGCCACTGTTTTTGTAGGCTCAGGGCGTTTGTTTCATCCCCATTTCCCAGACTTCTTCCCAACCTGGACTTCCAGGGGCCTTCCCAAGGCATCGGAGAAAAAAAGGGCCCTGACCTTCATCTACCCCGAGCTGTAAGGTTTATGTCACAGGCTTTGTAGCCACCTTGAAAGGCCCGTGGAAACTCGAAAGTCGTGGTCATGGTTTCCCTTCCAGGTGCCTCACGGTTCGGGGCCGAAAAAAAAGCGTATTTGGTGCACGCACGGTGGGCTGGACGCATCGAAAGATTCTGAGGCCAAATGTTCTGGGCTCGAGCTACCCCCCTGTTCCCGGCTTGGGTGTGGGTTCACCTTTGTACAGGACCAGGGCTGCTGTGGCCTCATTTGCTGCCTTCCACTTGGATTGGGGGCTCCTACTACTTATAGTTTTGGTTGGGAGGTTTGAGGAACTAACACCACTGCCTATTCGGGGGGGGAAACTACTGCTGACTCTTTAGGTTGGGGGTTTCGGGCTGGTCTCCCGCACGGGCGCGGGGCGCGTTTGCCCACGCAGGACGCTGAGCGAAGATGCTTTTTGCTCCGGGGTGTTCCTCAAAAACCAGTGGCTGTCTCCGAAACAATTGATTCAAGCTTCATGAATTGCACAGCGCAATGGAATCCTTCTTTCTAGAAAACCTCCTCTAGAACCCAGGCTGAAAACGGCTTTCCGGATTTTGCAAAAGGAACGATTGATCAAAATGGGAAAAGGAGAGTTCAGCGCGCTCAGCCTGCTTCATAATGAGGACCCCAAACTCTGCCCAAATTTCGGTGCTTTTTTGATATAGGTCTGTCTTTCTTTAGGATTCGGACCCTCAAATGGTGTTCCGTTGGTGTCCCTTTACCGACCAACAAAGCGGCACCCTCAACAAACGGCCGCACATTTCGCCCAGCCTAAACGTCTAAACATTGCTTTGGCGACGCCGTTTTCCAGGTCGCTTCAAGGGCCATCGGTTTCAAGGCATCGTCCAAGGGAATTCGGAAAGTAACCCTGCCAAGGCTCACTTCCTGAGTGGATTGACCAAAAAAAGTCAAGGGAAATTCGGAAAGCAACTCTGCCAAGGCTCACTTCCTGAAAAAAGTCTGAACTTTGAATTTACCGCAAAAAAATGGCTTCCAAAAAGTTCAAAGTCCAGGAACTCACCAAGTGAGAAGGGTCTAAATGGTTCACTGGGTTTCGCTCTGCATCGAGCAAAACGAAACCCTAAGAGGTGCTACACCCATTCGGGCCATCTGCTTGCGACGAGCTAAAACCAAACCATTTAGCATTTCGCCGAACCGATACCCTGACTCGAGTCCTTGCTTAAATTATGTGGCTGGTCAAAACCGTTTTGGGATCCCATTTTGGTTGGTAGGCGAATTCACCACCCATTCTAGAACCTATTTTAGTGGGGATTTTGATTTTAGGCTTCCTATTTTAGTGGTTGGATTGGTTGATGTTCACTGTGGGCTAACCGATTTGGATTTTGAAAAGCCCATCGCCA